GATGTGGTTATGGAGGCAGCGGCGGCGTCGGACAACATGCAACTGCGCGTGACCCGAAAAGTGATCTCATAACAGCTTTCGCTGTAAAGCACGCTGGCAGATACTACAACCTCTGCAAGGCACCGCTGCAGGGAGCCGCAGACTGCTGGAACAATTTCAGGGTCTGTTTGATAGCATCATTGTTTAACGGCACACCGCAATTCATTGGAACTAGCCCACTGGGGCTGCTGCTTTAATCGATTGGATTCCATGACAGCCTAAACGTTCTAAATGAAAAAAAATGGCAGATCCCACGTACAGTGGGAATCCGTGATATGCGAAGCAAGAATTAGGAGAGTTGAGATGGATGGATGGATGGATGGATGGATGGATGGATGGATGGATGGATGGATGGATGGATGGATGGATGGATGGATGGATGGATGGATGGATGGATGGATGGATGGATGGATCGATGGATGGATGGATGGATGGATGGATGGACGGACGGACGGACGGACGGACTTTATTTGGTCCTTCGGAACGTGCTTATAGGGGGACCGCCAGAGCATATGTTCCAAGGTAGCTATATTGTGGCAGAACGAACATGTATTAGTTGGCTATATTTCGGGATAAATTTTGTTCGATAGCGCGCGATTAGGGTACGCCACGACCTAAATAAGCCTGAGTGTCAGAGCCTGAGGTCTGCTTAGTTTTCTGTGTAGTGGTCTCTGCGCCAGGTAAAACTATTTTGTCTGTTGATTATACAAGATGGGAGGGTCACGGTTCTCCAAAACATCAGCGCCGCGCCCCCGATAGCTACGCGGTGTACTAGTCCTCGTGCAGCTATGTGGGCTTAAGAGCAAACCTCATGAGCGCGAAAATGCACGCGACAGCGACGAGCGATGCTATGAGCGACGAAACAGGGCGTTCGCGCGACGTGTCGCGTGCGTGCTCGTTTTCGCGCGATCGCTCGGTTCTCCAGATTTGGAAACCGTCGCTCATCGCCCGGAAGCGCTGGGCTCAAGCAGCCAATAGCGAAAAACCAGAAAAAGACAAAGACTACATAGGTGCACGTGACCCTGCCCGAGTCACGTATGCGCAACAAGAAATAACGCAATGTTTACGCATGTGAATGTAAAAAAAAAGTGCTGTAAAGCATTCATAAACACTTTCCGTTCCATAACACAACAATATATATTATTTTTAAATTGCATACCGCCCACTACGCGGGTTTCTTGGTGCAAGTAGACGGCCTCATGTCAGCAACAGTGGAGTTCGCTCGCCGAAGCTGGCAGGCGTTCCGCGTACGTGTTGGTACCTCTCTGTCGCGCCTAGTGTGAAGATGATCTCCCTCTTTTTTTTTCTTATTCATATACCTCCCCTCTTTCGCGCAAATAAAGGTTATTTGACATTATTGTTATTGAAGTTGCTGAGGCCCGCACTGCAGCCCGAAGCAGCATAGCACATTGCACAATATAACGAGCGCGTTTTTTTTTTAATTTTTAAAGTGTACACATTTTAGACGAGAAACCAGCTGGCCGGTACACACCGGAAGCGCCCCCCCCCCCCAAAAAAAAAGGGAATATGGTGCACACAAAACGAAGAACTCTTGCTCCATTCCACGTAAAACGCCAAAGCTGCACTCAAATAAAAGGCTCATTGCTTGTGGCTGCGTGCACACACGACAAAAAAGTAGGCTTTATTGATAATATTTGAAGAACAGCAGAGTTTTTCCAAACATCCCTTCGGTTTTAAAATATGGGAATAGATTCATTGTTGTAGGACCCACAGAAATGCAAATACGTAAATACTGCAGAAGAATGTCTTAAGTGAAACATAGTAGTGGAAGATTTTGAGAGTTTAAAAAACGCAACAATACTGCAAAGCAAACTCGTAACTAATGATAATCTTAATTGCACCGTTGGTATCCACAAGGAGCTGTGCAGGAGTGCTAATGCGTCGCCGTTTTCTGTTGTCATTCTCAGCCGGCACACACTGATACCGCCGCTTTGTTTGGGTCCGCGGAGCCGGAGTTTTGAGCGTCAAATATGCAGGCAGGTTGGGCAAGATCGTCGGGACTGCATCAGGGGCGAGTGTCGGCGCTCCCCTAGGAATTCGGACTTGAACACCATTGATAACATGTACGTAGTCTCTCACAATGAAATGCGGTTTGAAATGTAACTCGCACACAGCACAATCGGTGTCAAGCGGCTTGTCAAGCCGATGGAGGTTCCGCTCCCTAAGAAGTCGTCGTTCTTCGTCTTTAGGGGCCTTAAAAAGTGATAACTTCCGACTTTGTTGCACACGCGGATATCCAGTTGTGCAACCTGGCACGTAACAATCGTTTAGACGCTACTTCTTCGTTATTTCGCGACTAAAACCGAGATGCCGGCCATGCCGCCGAGCCAGCCGAGTAAACCAAGTGGGAAGATTGGGCGATGGCAGCGCCGCCGCTACTTTCGCCACAAGTTGGGGATGGAAAAAGCAAGAAGAAAGCGTTTCGGTCGCGCCATTCAAAAGTTCTAGTACACTCTACCGAAGCCGAACTGGTAGGTGTTCTGTGGCCGTCGCGGGAATGAGGTTTGCCTGCGCTAGCGACTGATCGCGCGAAGACGATCTACGTCGCGTCGCTCGTCGCTGTCGCGTGCGTTTTCGCGCTTATGAGGTTTGGCCAAAAGGCCGGGACTCTCTCAATGCGTACCATATGGGCTGGGAACCAAACGAGTGTGTGTGGCTCGATGTCTTTGTCCCGAAGAATTCGCAAAACTGGTTCCGATAGTGTTTCCTTGGCAAATGCTCAAACCGCTGACCTCTATTCGCTGTAAATTGTGGACCTCCTGTTATCCAGCAAGTCCAACGCAATCGCCTCTTGCTCTGCTATTTCAGCCACCGTCGTCCGGACCGTTTTTATATCACTTTAAAATCAGCACAACGTTACGAGGAGGACGAAAATTATGCCATACATGACTTTCATGTCATGATTATCATGTTTGCGCCTGGCATTTGTGTTCGTCGTCTATTCACGTCACGTAATACCGAATTTGATTAGCGTGAACCTAGCGAAACGGCCGCAAGTGCGCTGTGAGCGTAGCATGTAGTCAAGGTTTACGTGACACGCTTGTCACGATTAACATGTTTAGAAGGTATAAGCTAGGAAAGAAATGGAGTCGGTATAGCCGCTATTAGAAGGAAAGAAGAGAGAATAGAGAGAACATATTGGAAAACGGTTGGAGGAGTTCGAGCACGGGGCACCGATTGGCGAGAGCTGCACAACATCGGGAGATCGCGGGCGCCACTACCGTTCAGCACGAAATCCACGGAGCGAAATTGCGCTGCAACTATAGTGGCTAGAAAACCTTTGTAGTCGCTACACTTCAACCGTCTGCTGGGCGAAGCCAGATGCCAGGCGAGGCTAATGAGGTGGTTGTGTGTGTGTGTGTGTGTGTGTGTGTGTGCGTGTGCGTGTGCGTGTGCGTGTGTGTGTGTGTGTGTGTGTGTGTGTGTGTGTGTGTGTGTGTGTGTGTGTGTGTGTGTGTGTGTGTGTGTGTGTGTGTGTGTGTGTGTGTGTGTGTGTGTGGTGTGTGTGTGTGTGTGTGTGTGTGTGTGTTTTCAGAGAGAGTAGACACCATGCACCACGGGTAGGCACTAGAGTGTATTCGCGGGCCACCCTGTGCCCGTCACGTGGCTCGAGTTGAGTGCGATTTCAGAATTGGCTACTACTTAAGTCTTTTTCTACAAAAAGAAGCTGAATTATTTGTAATTTGGCACATATCATCAGGGTACCTAAGGAAAAAATATTCAAAGTTTCATTGAAATCAATAAATATAAAAAGATCGTCGGAGATTGCGCGCCGGTAGGTTTCTTGCGGTCCCGTAGGCCATGGTTAAAGCAGTGGCCGAGCTTGCGCCTGCTTGCGCCGTGGACTCCCCTTTAGACGCAGTTAAGGCCTGCCCACGCACACGCGTTGCAGCGCGTACTTGAGGTGAGGCCTTTACGCTCGCCTTTCACTCTGCATTAGCGGCTCCTCCTCGAGTTCTTCGAGCGCGCTGCAAGTTCGCCACATGTGGAACAATGGAGGAAGGAAAGTGCGTAACCGATACATAGCCTGATCACTCATATGGCGGATAATAGAACACTAAGCTCAAATACATTGCAGTTTAAATATAGAAACCACCGACCAAAAAAAAGAAAAGATGTGGTTCATTAAGATGTGGTTCTGCAGTTGTACATTCATATTTAGGAATCGCTGGTTTAACTTATTTGAAGTTATAGGCGCGATTACATGGACGAAGTTAAGGTACGCACGAACACACACACACACACACACACGGAGTGCTACTTCCAACAAATATTTATTTCGAGAAAGCAGGGAACATATTTATACACCTCGCGCACCGTCATCGTGCTTCAATACGCAGTCGCATTCAAGTAATGTAACTCTTTTGGCGATAATGGAGGCGGCGCTGACGCATAGATCACCCGATTCGATTTGATCAATTCATTCCGGATACACTGCCCGAATTGCCATTGTGTTCCTGACTTCAGCGCCCGCGTGGTAGTCACGCGAAGCCCCGATAAATTAGTACGACTAATCATTGAGCTAAAAAAATTATAATAATCGAATGAGGTGATCTAAGCGTAGCCTCCATTTAATTATCGCCAAAAGTGTTTCCTTCCTCCATGGGCAAAAGCACGGAGGAAGGAAAGAGTGTTTCCTTCCTTCCTCCGTGTCCAAAAGAGTTACGCCAGGGAACTACTCGAATGCGACTGCGCATCAAGGCACGGTGACAACTTTTTGTATATATTACTTTATGCGTGACAGCGCGAGTGGTATATAAATATTTTCTGTCGTCTTTCGAAATAAATTTTTGTTAGAAGGGGCACTCCGCGTGTGTGTGTGCCTCATTTTCCTCCGTGTCGTATTGGCGCCCTAAATTTCAAATACATTTGGCTATTTTGCTCAACATTGACCAAATCACACAGCGCGTCCGGCAACACTGTAGTTTGACAAGCGACCGAAAAACGAAACAAAATGTGGCTGTTGAGTTTCAAAATTGTGATGTTGCTTTGCACATTATTACTCGCCTTATCAGTGCAGCTTTGTTCTGCCGCCTATTATGCGGACAATGGCGTGGACCAGACCATCATTTACCGCACGTTACCGAAGTCTGAACGGCGTGAAATGCAGCAGGAAATCTTGAACCTGTTGGGCCTCGATCACAGGCCCAAGCCGAAGATCCACGAGCGGAGATTCTCCGCACCACGTTACCTGCTCGATCTCTACAACTCGTTCAAGGATGAAGACAACGGGGACATTCACCTCGACTCGGCGAAGGCACACAATGAGTTCATCACGAGCAACCAAAGCTTACGGATGATCAACGATTCCGATGTTATCATTAGCTTTCTCAACCATGGTGCGTATCTGCATTCCTTGTTTGTATCTTTCTATGACGAGCGAGCGCACAATGCGCTTCTAAGAATGCATGCCGGAATGCCAGCGTTCATTCATATTGACAGTTTGGTAACAGTTCAGGATTATTTAGGATAGTTCATGCTGATAATCATTGCGGGGGAAGTACGACATGACAGGAAATTACTTTCTGTGTGCGCGCTGACACGATTATTCACGTTCGACGGTGTATTACGGTACTGGCAGCCGCACGTATGCTAAATCTGATTACCGTGTAATTCTTTTCCCCCACTGATGTGGCTAATCTTGTATCTTTGGCATCATTACGTCGCATCCCCCCCCCCCCCTTGTAACGTTTGGTTAGCTTCGGCAGTTTCCCCCCCGCATTGACCACCGTAGAAGGTTGCGTTGAAAGCCTATGGTTTTAGTGCTTCCTCGTATTGCGATTTTGGTTAGAAAGCTTTTATTTCACATTCGTGGGCCAACTATTATACCGTGCCTACTATAACTCTGGTAAGAATTGACAAATGGCTTACTGTTTCTGCTCAGATCTCACTGCTCATGCTAAGATCACAGTCACCTAGATTTTGTTTTTCAACCATTGCTGCAAAATCGCTGTCCTAACTACACAGTGTGTCATGCATGGCACAAGGCTGCATCTTCATTAACAGTTACAGTAAATCTGAAAAATTTACGTTATGTTCTTGTTCATTTGTTTTACGATAAAAGTTCAAAGATATTTTTTTTCTAATCAAGTTTCTATAATTCATGCAATAGCGAGTAATGCAGCTTATGTTAGTGTACACCACAGTAAATGCTGTAGTGTGTGCTTCAATAACTCGTGCTCTGAAGTGACTTGTTTGTGATCTGTATAAGGCATTTTACTTCAAAGGAATTATATTGTAAGAAAGAGGGAACAAGACTGCACATTGTGGGTGTTTATGTTAAAAAACACTGCAGTCGGACAATTAGACGTCAAATGTATATGCTTACAGTGACTCATCAATAACATATTGTCCCATCGAGAACTCACTGTTAAACCGATAGATGTGTCATATACTCTGCCCTTCTGGATGTGATAGGCCCAGGGCATTTCCAGTCTCAAAGTGTTGAATCGCGTAAAGCTATGGCTGTCATTCTCAACGCTGCAATCACTTTGCGTGCTACTCATTAAAGGCTAGCTGTAACACAATTGTGCACCCCTCAAAAAGCCGATTTATACGCAGTCTAGCTGGAGACATTGCTGCCTGCCAAATTTCACTTTTGAAGTGCAAAGTGCTTACAAAATAAAAGAAAACTCTCTATCAATGCAATTTTTGATACCAAAACTGGAAAAAATGATGCTATTACAGCTGACCGGAAATTACGTAGATAGCAGCCCGACAAACTGACTGATGCAGACAAACCATCTGCCCTGCTCTTCAAAGTATGCGCTTCATAGTCGCACCCTAGAGTTTTCTCTTCAGATCGTAACGAAAAAGCAAGCAATGTAAAGATGCACCGTGAATTATACATGATCATAAAAGCTCATCAACACACCTATCTAAATAATGGCTGCCCGCTTAGCACCTATTCTCATGCCCTGCTCTCTTGGCAAACTTGCTGGTTCACAATAAATGATGTCACTCGCTTGATAGACTATGAATGATTAGACTACGTTGTTTTATATACTGATGCTTGGTTTTGCACTCTCTCATGTCTACCAAAAACATCCCTGCTTTTCTGTAAACACTTCTTTGGCTGCACCTTAAACATTTACATTAAACCTAGCGAACATAACACGTTGTTATACGTTTGTGTGCTTAAATTGCTTTGAATAGAGCACAGTTTTAATTGTGAAGCTTCGCTGCTTTGACCACTTGCAACTAGAAGTGAGCCAATCAGCATTTGGAGCTTTTATTACACGATCATAGATGGCGCAGCTACTCTAGCACTTCGTGGAGCGTCGTGTTACCGGTATTATCTTTGGAATAGCGTTACATAATAATTTAGCGAGCAAAACATGCCAACGCAAGCATTTACGCTATACTAAGGCTAATACGAATATATGTCGTCAGTGGCTCTTCTGAAAACTCCGGTCAGGGCTTCCCGCTATTGTGTTCGCAGTAGCTGAATATTTAAGGTGTCAACTCTGGAAGGCACTGTGTCAGAATTCAAAATTCTTTTCAGTTTAAACAGTATTTTGGTGGAGAGACAGTAGTCGTCTCATTACTTGTGATCTCTAAAGTGCGTCGCGTAAAGCACCACGCTCTTCTATAACTACTGTTCTTTTCGCCTCACTTAGATAGCCCAAAGCTTTTGTGGCTTTATGCTTTTCAGAAAAGTGTGAAAGCCGCACTCCAGCCATAACAAATGTTCCAGCAGCTTGCAGCCCCGCATTTGAAACTACACAAAACTTAACTTCACTGAATTATCCGCTTGTAGAGGGGCGTCATGCAGAAAAGGAACGGATGCGGCTGCAGGGAGCTCTGCTCACGAGCAGTAGTTAGCCGCAATTGATGTCATTTCTGTTTGTGTCGAATTTGCCCGAGCATACCGCCAGGGCTCTGTGTCGTCTGCTAGCTGACAATTAGAGCACCGATTATAAATGAAATGCGTGATTGCAAGTTTTTGTGCTGTCATTGTCATTGCTTACCCAATATATACTATGCATTCCAAGCCGATTCTGCCAAAATCAAATTTCGTTCCAGTTGGTCTTTAAGCTATCAATAAACTAAATTTTTTAATGTCATATGCTTGCATTCCGGCGCATTCAACGGTTGAATTGACTGCCCTGGAACGACGTTGTTTCTGGTATCAGCTTTGCCAACTTTTAAATGCCTGGTGAGCACGACAATGAAGTAAATTTATACCCCTACCAACTTGTGGTGTTTGTTCTGTGTGGCACAGCACCAGGATGAAAACTAATTTACAGGCTCTACAATATGACATGCAAAATTCTGTGCAGTTACTGAAGCCCTCAGACCACAGTGAACAACTGCATACATAAAAAAAAAGATTCCTTTCGTAGTGGTAAATTACCATTCAACAGTACCAGTAGCAGCTTTCTCGATAGAAAAGAGTGGTGGTGATATAATGGTGAGGTTCCCACACCTTCCTATTATAACATTGTAGCTTTTTGACTAGGCCTACTAAGTTATTTGTCTGTGAAAATGAAATAAATTGTGTTCTAAAGGCATTAGAGGCATAACAGGGCATCTAATGGGCACTTTTATTGAACCAACATAGCCAAAACACCAAAAAAGAACTTGCGCTTTGAAACATGTGCTTGGCACCCTGACATGCGTGTAACGGTGTTTTAGGGCACAATAAAAACTTATGTTTCTAAAATTAATGTGGTGAGTAGTTAGAAGAAATAACATCAGTTTATCTTGATTTAATCTATCACATTAGTATGCACCTCATTACAAAAAAAAAGAAAAACTCTTGTACATCTTTCTGTATGTCTCTCTATTTAATCTATCACATTAGTGTGTATTTCACTACAAAAAAAAGAAAAACTCTTGAACATCTTTCTGTATGCTTCTCTATCCTTACTATTTTGTTCATCACTTTGTAACCACAAGTTTGTCTTGCAGCTCATCACCATTCACTTCACCTACGCCATGACAATGAAAAACGGTTTTGGTTCGATGTCAGCGAAGTGTCTCCTGCAGAGAAAATTCTCAAGGCAGAACTCAACATCTACCGAGAGGCTACGGTCAGTAGTTTGCCAGAAGACCACACATGCACGCTTGAGATCAGCATACTGAGACACGGCGTCAAAATCGAGTACGTAGCATGGTATAGTTTACATCAATTAAATAAAGAAGCTGCCTGAGTAATGCATGTTCAGTGGGCTGAATAGTACCAATATTTGTTGACCAAGTCAAGTTTTGTTACGAACTTATGAGTTTTGACCATATTCATGATGGTCGCTATTGCGTTTCGGGAATGATATGGCTTGGTTGTCTGACACTGATCTCCAAAATGGATTTTAAAAATAGCCCTTCTTCAGGTGTTGAGGGTGTAAAAAATGTAGTAGTGAATTGTGTACTATGCTGGCTGACTAGGTATATATCATTTACCTTTGGAATGTTAAAAAGTAGTAAAAATTTTCAGTCGCTAGCCTTGAAGGGCAGCTAAACCTCTCAGTGGTTGAAATTTGGTTGTGGTGTTGCAATAAGGCATGAGTGTGCTACAAACACGTAGTCATAAAAATTCCAGAAGCATCTGTCACTCATTTCACTCTTTCCTTCACGCTGCTCCATTCATTGTTTTGCCTTCCCAGTCAAAAAAGTTCAAATGGTCCAATTGAAAAAATACCAATCGACATCAATTGATTTTCGACCCACTGGAATTTCGCCACCAGTTGCAAACATACCAATTATATCTGATTGGTGAACCAGTTCCTATCCAATTAGTTATAACTATTCAGACAGAACTGGTGGCTGATTGGTTGACCAATTGGTATAGGTGGGGTACCAATCGGTCATACAATTGAAGCTAACTGGTGCTCGAATGGCTAACCAGTTGAAGTGAACTGGCGTGCAACTGGTAATCCAGATAATCATAAATGGTCCCCCAGTTGAAACTAGGTGGGGTTCAATTGGTTAACGAATTTGAATAGAGGTGGTCATTCAATTAAAGGTAACAGGTGCTCAACTGGTCAGCCCGTTGAAAGAGACTGGTTCCCAACTGGTTAACCGGCTGAGTGCAAATGGTCATCCAGTAAAAGCAAACTGGTGCTCAACACGAAAAGCCTTTATTAGACAATAATAGTTCGGCGAAAATGTCTCATACAGAGCGAGCTTCGTTTTTAAAACTCCCAATTTCTGCTAGTAAAGGTATTTATAGTCAAACTGCCGCCTGTTCTGCCTCAGGTTCTGGAAAGGAGGTAGCTAGTATATTCTTGTTGCTCAGAGTTTTTCCTTTGTTCCGTGTTGCATCAGCAATCATGTAGGTAGGCTGCGTAAAAGAAAAATATAAGACAGAGAGAAAAACGTGCTACATGGCCGTAGTAAAGAGGTTAATACACTAGTCTAAAACGCTGTAACTGAACGCTCTGGCACTTTTCAGATCGGGTAGTGCGAGATAGTTCACATGTGAGCATTCATCCTAAGCGGTCATGCATGCCAACATTGACAGTGCAATGCGGAGCGCGTCATTCAAGTGTTCCAGACGAGTGTGGTTACCGCAGCACAAAGGATAGAAATGTTATCGATGTAACAAGACTTACCATGTACAGTAGCTCCCACACTTCATGCTGGCTGCGCCCGTGCACCGTGTTCGCTGCAGTCGCGAGCCAACACTAGTTAGGGTAACGAACAAAAGGTGCTAATAATACAGTTGTTAAGGTGGTTCAAAAGCAAAATACTTGCCTCGATTGTAAAGACATAGGGCTTAATCAATGTATTATGCCAACATGATCACTGCAAAGACGCTGGATATAAAACACGCCGGTAATGCTAGTGACTTGTGTCCGCTGCAGTCACGGAGTTTTTCCTACGAATTTTCCTACAAAGTTCTTTCTTCCTTCATGGCTGCGGTGGTGCGAGGTCCAGTAGTGATGACGGCCCCGCCGCGGTGGTCTAGTGGCTAAGGTACTCGGCTGCTGACCCGCAGGTTGCGGGTTCAAATCTCGGCTGCAGCGGCTGCATTTCCGATGGAGGCGGAAATCTCGTAGGCCTGTGTGCTCAGATTTGGGTGCACGTTAAAGAACCCCAGGTGGTCGAAATTTCCGAAGCCCTCCACTACGGCGCCTCTCATAATCATATGGTGGTTTTGGGACGTTAAACCCCACATAACAATCGAATTCATTGCTTTGCTCTTGCTGTGAAGCTGACAGACATTTCGTTTTTATTGGCACTTCTATTTTGCCTTTTGTGTCGCTCAAACCTCTCTTTATTGTTACAACTGCATTTATTTGTATCTTTGTCAACATCGGTTGTCACTTTTTATATATATGTATTGTCATATCACACTAGTATTGTATCGCCGATTGCTTTTTGCAAGAGTGAATGTGGCATTTGGTTTGGCTGCTGCTACTACTTTTATAGGGAGCTTGCCTTCCCTGTTTGAAAATAGTAAAGCTTTTCTTTCATCGTTTACCTATTTGTTTATTTTGACTTTTTTTCTTTCTTCTGTAGAGATGTTATACTCCAGCACGTGGACAATCTAACTATAGATGCAAAAACTCACGGGTGGCTCACATTTAACGTCACTGAACCCTTTCTGACGTGGGTGGCATTCCCTAATGAGAACATGGGTCTCTTTTTGCAGATTCACTGCAAAGCATCAGGTGAGCACTTTGGTCAAGGTTGTTTTGAGAGACCACATTTAGTCATGATGGTTTCTATGTTCTACTCGACAAGTTACCAAATCGAATCCCTCTTTCTGAACAGCTTGACTGTAGTCATGAGACATGAGTCGCTGAGGAGTAACGTTGTGCAGTGGCATATCGAAGGTGTGGCACACTAGGCCCATGCCTCCCCGCCCCCCCCCCCCCCCCCCCCAAGAAAGAACTTCTGCCTGCACCCCTGACTTTGTGGCAGCCTAAGAGCTTAGAAGCATTGGTCATCTTATGATACAAATGATACAAATTTATTTAAAGAGTGCAACTCACTTTAAAACTTAGCCGATAAACTTGACATTCTCATATTTGCACAGTCGAAACCATTTGTGTGGGAATCAGTTGGATTTATCGGATGGTTTGATATAGAACTGGTAAAGAAATTTTTGTATTTCTTATGTGAATTTTGGTGTGCAAGTTGGCCTCACGGAACTGCTTCACGATTATGCAAGGAAGGCATCCGAGGGCAGCACAGAATCTTTTCTCTTTTTAGATCTTTTTGTAGCTGATGATAGAGGTGTGACGCATGGGCAGGTTGTAGATGAAAGAATGCATTATGACTATGGCCCATTATAGTCGCACCACTTACTGTGCCTAATGCGTGCAGGAAAGTCTTCTTTCGTGAGAAAAAGAACAAGCTGCTTGGGATGGTACACACTGCCCCATCTTTTGTATGTCAAGTGTTCTTGCTATTTTTGTTCAACGCAGTCGTAAATTTTGCATTTCATTGACCCCTAAACCGCTCCAAGTGCAATGAAGAGAGTAGTTTATTTTTGCCTACGCTACCCTTCCTGCAGGCGCTACCGTATCTACTCATGTAATGAACCCAACCGCATAATAAACACACGTTTCCAACTTCAGTAGTCAAAATTTGGATTTTTTTTATTGGCGTAATAAATGCACTCCCTACATGAATTCGCTGCAGTCCCGCAAACCGACATCTAATGCGTTCTTGCTCGTTGGATCTTTTCCGTTTTTTATTATGCAGACCCTCCTTGACTCCCTCCTTCTCCTCTTCACTTATGCGGCATGCGGTTTTGTTTTTCCTTCTATCTGTGAGTGGCACGCCCCTGTCTTTTTCAATTATTCATTCGCAACAGCAGAGTTCACAAACGACGTGAGTGTAGAGATATCACATTTCACCACCACACAGCAAGCGAAGGTTACAAAACTGCCCACGCCAAGCAACGGTTGCTGCCTACAAATAGGACACTTTAAAGCCCAACCACGTGCACGCGATTTTTGAGTGACAATGACAGGGTTCGCTGTCGCCATGGCTGTTGCATAGGGCCATTCGTTGCAATCGCGTCGCAGGTTTCCGTAAAACTAGAAGAAATGGTTGTCACCCAGGAAAAAGCATGACGATTCTTGCAACATCGTAGTAGCACCACTGATCCTCGCTTCAGTTGCAATTAAATTTTTGTGCTCATTATCAGCGCACACTTTAAAGAACGCAGGATATTGGCTGCCTTTTCTACAGTCACTTCTCATGCGAACAGCGAGGCGGCCACCGTATTCTGTTGTTAATCTTGTTATCGACGGTTTGTTCTCGTGCTTCGGTTGCTGCGATGTTGGTTACTTGCCGCAATTTCGATGTCGTCGCAATCATCGTACGAGGTTGCCACAAAGTTGGCAAAGCAGAGAACGTAGCATCATCTGGGTACACTTCTGGGCATTCCTCGAGATCAGAGCAGATACGACTGTTGCGGTTGTTAAGTGGTTGCAAGAGAAGAAGGCCACGTAATGCTTATATAGAGTGCATGGGCAGTGAGGGGAAAGCTTGCAGAACATAGCACCATCAACCACAGAAGATGAGTGAAGTGAAATGAAGCCATTTTTAAACAGTGTATGTGTATGTCAATTGTGGAAGGTCAAGCTGCCTAACTTTTTTTGCTCATCTCAAAAGAAGGTTTCTTGCTCATCCCAAAAAAATTTTCATAAATCTTGCGCCGCATAATAAATGCACCCAAAACATTGCTTCGATTTTTGCGGACAAAATTTGTGTTCATTACGTGAGTATGTATGGTATTTTCCCCTTGCAACTTATTAAGATATGGACTATGTCAAGACAAAGCGTTGACTCTATTAGTGTTTAGCGCTTTTTGGCTACACTGTTATCTCTGCTTGCTCAGTCGAGGGTGCACAGAACGAAGTGAAATCAGTTAGTTGCATATGACAGCCAAGAGAGACGAGGCTGAATGGCTGTGCAAACTGCATGGCAATCCAGGATAGAAAAATTCACAACTGATATTTCATGTACACAGATCAATCAAGAGCTTGTTTCTACATAGCGTCACGTTAACTGACTGCTGCCATCATGGACCCTTCCGAAAAGACGGGAAATGCCAGGAGAGAAAAGCGCGGTCATTTTTTGTCTGTATGCAAACTATGAAGCAGCGTCTCCCAGTTGTCTGAAAGCAGGATTTCTACTACTTCTAGCAATTAATTTACATTTTCCCATTTCCAAACATGGCTCATTTTCAATGTGACAGTAAGATGTGAACTGCCACGCTGCAGCAAAATCAACCTAAATTCACACCGCCACAAGTGCTTTAAGACCACACCTCCTCACCTCCTTTGAGCACTTCTGAGGTCTTTGGCTATTACATAACATGAGACAGTTCCATGACATGCTTACAAAATGGCTGAAACACCCCTCTTAATAGATGACAAATTAAATGTTGTGCAGGCCACAGTATGCACCCCCACGAGTTGCATCCACATGATCTCGGACTAGTAGGGTCAGGGGGCCGCAGTGACCTACAACCATTCATGGTGGCCTTCCTGCGGGACGGGGGACCCAGCCGTCGCCGCCACCGTGTTACTCGAGCTACTCGCAAGCGCCACAGCGCTGATGTCAGCTACAGCGGTCGACACGAGAAAAACCCATACTTTGGTACGCTGCTTTTAAGAAATGTGATTTTTTAAAATGCCTTGTTGCACCCTGTGTGTAATTTTCACATTCCCCTGGTTCTACTGTTCACTGCAGTGCGAATAGTATAAGTGAAACAGAGTTACTGTATTAGGCTAATAAGACAGTGTTTATCTAAACTGTAACACCGTATTTGCAAGGAACTTACTATCACCAGTTTATTATTGAAAAAATAAAATAGGAGCTTGGCTCATACAAATTTTAGTTTGACGTGGTCTTATCATACATTACAGTAAATTTGCCGCATTGGCAGTCTGCAAAATTTTCTTATTATTTTGTTTGTTACACTGAAACTGAGTTGCTGTCGTCATGTTGTCCCTTTTTCGTTTGTCAACGCCTCTTATGAACAGTGAGTAGCCAGTGAAAAAAAAAAAAAAGATGGGCACAAAATGACCACTTTTTCACTCTTACTGCTTTGGTGGCCAATTCAGCATCATATAATGTATTTCTTTTTTTTTCTACATGTTCACTGTTTGGTTTGAACTTGCAACACATTAGTTTGCTGCTGACATATGGATTAACTTGGGCACTTTTGTTAAGATTCAGTGCTCTTGCTGTGACTTTCTTGCCATAGAAATAATCGAGGCTTTCAATGTAATTATTGGTTTATACTGTTAATTTTCCCTAGTGCTTTGATGCAGCGACCTAGTGACAAATTACAACAGCCACTCAGCTTTCCTTGTGTGGTAGCAGGGAAAGTAGCATCTCAATAGACCTCTACCAGGGTACGTCACAGCGTGACGTCACCGGTGCACGTGAAAGGCGGTGGTTGGCAAAACACTCCCGCCAGTGGCCGAGTGGGGTGCAATCGCTCGGTGTTTGGGGCATTTACTTTTTTTCTTTTTGAAAGCTTAATCTTCATCTCACAGTGGCAACATTAGCTGTGGGAGTTGTCAGAGAACATCTAGGTGTGTGATAAAGTGCGTGATGAAATATTCGCTACGCTGGCTAGCTGTTTGTCTCGGAGAAGTGAACACACGTGGTGGCCTGTGCGAGGAACAGCGGCATCGTCTTCGAAAATGTGTAGTGTTGACTGTGGCGTGTAGGGTGCGTTGAAAGGCATAGACAATATAGTTTCATCTTTACGGACGGTGAAACTGGGAATGCGTGCATTGTGAATGATGCGATGCGTCCTGTTCGCGAAAACACTGGCATTCAATGTGGGCCGGTTTCAGTAACCGATTGTCAATGGAACTTTACGGTCTGACATTGTAGTTAAGGTAAAAATACATTCGGCGTGATCATCTGTGAGTGGATACATCTCAGCGTATGTGCAGCGTGTAGAAAAATAAAAGTGCATGATATCCTGGTGATATATATGACTACGCATGAGCTATAAGCATGTAGCGTTGCCGAATCTGCATATATGCTTCACCATGGCTATAACTTGTAATATCAAATACCTGATACGTGTTAATGGAAACAGCGGAGATTTCGGTTCCTTATCTACTTCGTACTTTTAAGGCTTGTGGGGGTGTTGACACCCCCCCTGTAAAGTTGTCTGCGCCGCGTGGCGCACGTGTCTCGCCCCAGGGCGTTATTTCGGTGGTGACCACCACCGGGCGATAGATGGCGTTGTGTTCGCTCTGAGTACCACTGTTGGTAGAGTGGCAGCGCCGGTGGTGGCCCCTGGCGGAAGGCGGGCCTTGGTGGTGGGCGAGCGTTGAGCGAGCCTCTTCTGCGCGTGGCGGCTGCCGCGAACGGTTGTCTGTAGCGCGGGTCCCCGGTGCTCGGCACCGCGGGCTTCGCGCCGGGGTCCCACGTGGAAAGTCAGGCGTTGGCGACGCCGTCTTGGGTATGTGCTAGTGTGTTGAGTGTGTTAGTGTGTGTTTATCATGTTATTGTGTGTTTAGTGTGTCACTGGGTTATGTTGTTTGTATGGTAGCGTGTTAGTTGAAATTGGTGTATCATTCGGCGGACGATATCGTCGTCTAAATTAGTTAATAAATGTATGTATGTTGTGTGCTTTGTACCGACCGCGTCAACTGTGTCCGTTCACTCCAGGAGCGTGGCGTGGCGATGCGCTCGCTCGCCTCGCCGAGACCCCACACTGGCGCCCAACGTGGGGCTCTTGGAGTATCGGACGACAGTTTTTGCGGTTCGGTACAGGGATTTTGTTAGAGCCGGAGTAGAGTAGGCCTAGGGGGACTTCTTTGCTAGCGTCGGTGGTGTGCTTTGTTGAGAAGCGAGGAGATTGGTTTTGTAACGTGTTTCAATTTGTCGGCAAGTTGACTTTCTATTTATTTTTTTGCTCGCAAGTGTTGTTATTTTTTGTTGTTAGTTTTCAAAAACGTTGTTGAATTAGGACGAGAGCCATGCGGTCCGCATCCTGGGGTGAGCAAGGCCTAGAGCACGTGGTTTGTAGGCCAGGCCCGAAGCGAGTGAGTACGGAAGCCTCGTGGGTGGTCCGATTTTCTGTAAATAGCTTCTTCTATCTCTTTGGGCTCAGGGAGCCAGGCGTCGTTGCTGACTTGTATTGCGGCTCGACGCCGGGGCGTCGTGACACCGCCCGGGGCGGTGGACGCCGATCGCTCGGTAAGCTGCTGTGTGCGGCGAGCGATAGGGCCACCTCACAGAGTGGACGTCTCCTCGCGGCTGCCTCTTCTGCGCCTAGGCTGGGTGCTGGGTGGATGCCGGTTGTTGCCGAGCGACTCATTAGGCCTAAGGCTCTGCGCAGCCGCCTGTCGCACGTGGCACAACTAGGTGGATCGTAGCGTTGAGGTGTTGCGCTCTGCTTCCCTCACTTTTTTTTCTTGTGAGCACGAGTTAGGAAAAGTGATTTTTGTTTTTATTTTGATGGGCGTCTCGGCCGCCACCGATGTATTAGCTAGCAGTACTAACCACCGTACCACGTGGCCGAAAAGCCTGAAGCTCCCTCCCCTGGGCCGCGCTCCTTTGTTTCTTTCGAGTTTTGTTTTTTGTTGATGTATTCAGCGGGAGGCATGTCATCCACGGCCGGCTGTCCTGCACGTCGTCAGCGTCACTGGCCAGGAATGCGGTCGTGAGGTCGGGCGATGGAGATGCTTGGGACCTGCGCAACTGCCTGCAGTCCGGTGCCCTCGCGAGTGCTGGTCGCAACTGGAAGACGTGTCGGCGCTAGCGACGGATCGTCGTGCCGACGGCAACGTTGCTGTTGCGGGGCCGGTACTGAGGTGAAGTCTAGCCGGACAGTGCAGCAGTGTCGACCAGCGGCGGTGTCGTGGTGCAAGGACATTATGGTCGTGCGATATCATTTTTTGTTAAAGCTTGTGTAGCTATTTTTTTTTATTTCGGGGTATGGTTTGATTTAAGGTTGGGGGAATGTGGGGGTGTTGACACCCCCCCTGTAAAGTTGTCTGCGCCGCGTGGCGCACGTGTCTCGCCCCAGGGCGTTATTTCGGTGGTGACCACCACCGGGCGATAGATGGCGTTGTGTTTGCTCTGAGTACCACTGTTGGTAGAGTGGCAGCGCCGGTGGTGGCCCCTGGCGGAAGGCGGGCCTTGGTGGTGGGCGAGCGTTGAGCGAGCCTCTTCTGCGCGTGGCGGCTGCCGCGAACGGTTGTCTGTAGCGCGGGTCCCCGGTGCTCGGCACCGCGGGCTTCGCGCCGGGGTCCCACGTGGAAAGTCAGGCGTTGGCGACGCCGTCTTGGGTATGTGCTAGTGTGTTGAGTGTGTTAGTGTGTGTTTATCATGTTATTGTGTGTTTAGTGTGTCACTGGGTTATGTTGTTTGTATGGTAGCGTGTTAGTTGAAATTGGTGTATCATTCGGCGGACGATATCGTCGTCTAAATTAGTTAATAAATGTATGTATGTTGTGTGCTTTGTACCGACCGCGTCAACTGTGTCCGTTCACTCCAGGAGCGTGGCGTGGCGATGCGCTCGCTCGCCTCGCCGAGACCCCACAGGCTCCATCCTTACGAAGTGAAAATCTGCGTTAGAAGTTTGTGTATAAGGCATAAAGGAGCGATAGGTACGCAAACACGTTATAGGTGTCAAATGCAGCAAGGTAACTGTGCCGGATAATATTATATATTATTAAGATGTCGGGTTTTACATCACATGAATTTTCACTGGGTTTTTGAGAAAAGCAGCAGTAGAACTTCACTTTGATTTTCACGAGGATATGTTAACATCAGCCTAACCTACGGCAACAAGTGTTTTTTTTTTTTTTATTCATCTCCGATGAGACTTTTGGGCAATGAATGAGAATCTTATCCGTGACTTTGCGCAAAGCCGCTCAAAATCATGCTGTCGCCAATGCTGTACCTAGTTTAAAACTGCATTGCACATGCCACGATGGAAATTGAGCAATTTTACATTCATGCCATGGAAATATTTCTCAAAGTGGCCGTAATCGTGTACATTCAAACCGTTCGCTTTCAAAAGCAATCAGGTTTTTTTTATGGCTGCCATCTACGTGGTGAAGCCCACTGCGTGCTAGTTGCATCTCTCAGTACTCTAAACAAAGTTTCTTCATCCAACTACGACGAGCAAATTCCGGCACTATGAGCAGTGACTTTTCCACGACCCCCTTCTTCCAAAAGCTGTGACTTTAGAACATAGCAATGTAGAAATTTCTATCGGAAGAATGCAGACACGCAGCTCTGCCATGCAGAAAAATGCCGCCGGAGGAACTTTTTTGCCAACCAGCACCTGCTCCGAGAGAGGGTGTAGGGGGCGGGGTGCCCGCAGTGACGTCACACTGTTTACAAACAGGGAGAGGTCTATAGGCTGGTGTTCTATGGAGTCTCTCAAGCTATCTTTGTACTTATGGCCAGAGATGGTGCGCCAATGTCATGTTACTTAAAAATTGTGATATGCTGGGCAGGATTCGCCTAATCGATCTAGCAACCTTTTAAGGGCCATCATTATGCCAATTATGAGCCTCATCACCAGCCCAAACTGCAGGAACTGTCGGTACATTTGGGCAGCGATCGAGTGTACAATAATGGTAGCTATGGTAGTATTTGGGATTTCGTCATAGATCTGTAAACTTCTTTTCTCATCATATTTTTCTTATCATATTATTTCTTATTGTAATCGAGCCCACAAAATATGGCAATCTAGAAGCATAAAACTGAACAAACATGGAATGAAATGGGTGTCTGGTCTGTGAGCATTTTGTTGGCCCTTATTTCGTTGAACATTTGCTGTTGTATGCTTATATTTCTTTTCTTTTTTTTTTTTTTTGGTTCTGTTCAAGACACACGACCGATTGGACGAAGGAACAGCTGCCAAAAGCGAAACTTGTTTGTGAGCTTTAAAGATCTGGGGTGGCAGGTAAGCTCATTAATCTCATCTGATAAATATTTGACAAGCGATCATTTAATTGATTGTGCAAATTAGTGGCATGTAAAATGTCATTCTGTTTAGTACGGCTACAACATCAAGAGTAATGGCATGAAAGAACATCACACTGCTCCTTTGAGGTGCATGTAGAAAGTTGAATTGGTAGTAGTGTTAAAGTTTCTTCATTAGGATCTTTAAAAATTTTTAAAGATTTTTTCAATATAATCAAATGTTGAATTACTCAGGATACCGAGAAATGAAAGGAACAAACAACTGCTTACTACTTCACCGTACTTATATTTAGTGGATGAATCTGCAAATACTGCTTTCCCTTTGTGCAATAGAAAAGTGACAGCTACATATAAATTTCATCATCTCACAATGGTACTAAGTAGAGTGTCTGAGTGGAGCACAAGAATGATGAAGACAGAAGAGAACAGAAGGCACAGGAATGAGTGTAAACTCCCAAGGGCAACATTACTTAAAAGTGTTAAAAATGAAGGAAAAAAAGATAGCCTACTACCTAAGGGCAGACATGCCAAGAAGATAGGCGAACCCTTTAGCATGTCTGCTGTTAAGTGATACGCTACGTTACTTCATTCCTTCATTTGTAGCATTTGTGCGCAGTGTTGACTGTTTTTTTTTTTTAATGTTCATGTGATCTCCAAATAATCTTTTCAAATGCTAGTCAGCGCTCGTCAATGTCCCTTCTGTTCTCCTCCGTCTTCGTCGTTCCCGCTCTGTCCACAAACATGCTTCTGCACCGACTAGCCCAACTGTCAATACTATTACTAGGTAAAAGCTAGATAACTCAGACTCCCTGTATAGTAGCCATGCAATTCTCTAGGCGTGCAAGCAATGTGCAGTGGAACTCCGGTTGTATGACTTTCAGAATACTGCGCAAAACCGTCGTTATAATCTTGGCTTCGTATAATCTAAAAACTAAGTTTACAGGCAGTGACACTAAGCCTTGCTCGAAAAACAGGTACAGACCACCTGAATAAGCTTACGGCACAAGTTGGTGCCTCTGCAAGAAAGGTAATTAAAATTATTCTTTCCAGTGGCAGCTAATGGCAGTGTTACATAGTTGTAGGAGGTGTGCGACGAATCAATTAAAAAACATTTTATCCCATGTGCATTTTTGTACTGATAAACTAAGTCCGAAAATTGTGTGCATGGGAAAATGAAACTGAAACAGTGTTGGCCACAGCCTCCCATTAGAAGAGTCAGACACAGTGTCATCACTATGACAATGATGACGAACCACAAGTTTGCATAGAATGCATTCATTCGCGACTGAGCTGTGCACGTTATAATTTGTTGGCTTGTGAAGTGTAACTAGTGATGTCCTGCTGTCATTATGAATGTTGACGTCCATTAAAGTAATTATGCATGTTGAAAAGAGCTTCGTCACTTCCTTGTGCGTGTGCAAGCCTCTGACTGCGAGTGCGGCAAAGGCAGATCAGCTGTATGTCGACCAGGAAAAGTTTTCACGGACCGAAAATGTGAAATATCGTCCTTTCGGCTGGCTGAAGCTCCTCTGTGTGGATAAAGCTTGACTATGTAACGACCGCAGATACGTACACGCGCAATTGAGGTGTATGTTGAAGCGCATGAACTTTCAGGAGAACCTCTATCCTGAAGGCATTCAATGTTGATATTGATACTCTCGATTTTATATGGACAGGCTTTTCATCCTCTCTTCCCCCATCCCCGGGCCTCTTCCCAGCTTACCTGCTGTGCCACTCTACGAGTCGCATAGTTCTCGCCAACCGTGACCCAAAACAATGCCTTCACACAAATTTACAAGTGCCTATTTATTATTTCTTGCTAGTCTAGTGTATAGCAAAGGAAGAGCACAAACTATCGGGTTTCGTTGTTAATAAGGGTCGATTCCACTAGCTTTTATTGTGTACCTTCTCACGTGAGATGTCTGGCCGATGCTTTTTTAGCAATTTTGATAGTGTTTTGTCCTGAACCTTTGCTTGCAAGTGTTGTTGCAAAACAAAGCATAATTACAGAGGCTGTGTGTATTTGTCACCTTATCAAAACTAAGAGCCTTTCACATTTTGCTCATTTGGCGTGTGTGTTTACCTTGTTCCTTGGATTTTTGCACGCACAGGATTGGATCATAGCGCCGGACGGGTACACGGCTTTCTACTGCGACGGCGAGTGCTCGTTTCCACTCAACATGAATGCTACTAACCACGCCATCGTGCAGACCCTTGTGCATCTGGTGGATCCCGCTCAGGCACCCAAGCCTTGCTGCGCACCCACTCGCCTGTCGGCTATCATGGTGCTCTACTTCGACGACAATTCCAACGTCATCCTCAAGCGCTACAAAAACATGGTCGTCAAAGCTTGCGGATGCCATTAGGCTGCTCTCTTTTCTACAAACGCGGTGCGAGCCACATTTTTCAGATAGGTCAGTTGTTTGAGGGAAACTTGTCACGGGGATCTAGTGGTTTCAGCACCCGACTGCTGACCCAAAAGGGTAGAGATGGAATCCGGGCTGTGGCGGCTGCATTTTCAATGTAGGTGAAAACGCTTGAGGCTCGTGTACTTAGACTCAGGTCCGCGTCAAAGAACCCTAGGAAGTCGGAATTTATGGAGCCCTCCGCTACGGCGTTCCTCGTTGTTTTATCCTGGTTTTTTTTTTGCGTGTTCAACCACAACAGTAATTATTATTATTTTATTCGAGAGCATCACTTCTGATGTGGGCTGATAGAGAAAGCAGGCAGAAGTCAGTGCAATGAAGGAAATCTATAGGAAGGTGCAGTCCTTGTTATTGCATCATTCCCACCATACGGCAACCTTCAAGCGCTGATCAACGAATTTATATTTAATGCTGCATCATGGCAATTATCGAGCACACCTTGCTTCAGTTCTGCTGTACTCACCAGATTTTATGCTTTGATTGTCAATGTAAAGGTCATTGCCAACTGGCTCTAGTAAGATTTCTCGAATTACCATGAGTGCAGTTTCCGTCTTATTGCAAAGTGTATCATTAGGATGTGCAGCAGAAATGTTGTGAAATGTATCCACAGCGGGGCATTCTTATGCACCCTATACACTATGTGGAAGTAAATTGTTGTTTAGAGTAGTTGAACAAAACTAATCTTATTGCTTTTCAACCAGCAGTGTTTCAGATTTCAACAGTGACTTGAAATGAAACTTATGTGCTGTTTGATAGGGAAAGACACAGAAATCTTCCTCTGTTTCTGTCGATACTTTCACTATGATCATCTTTGAGGTGGTAATAAGCATATGCAGGTCAGCTTACACAGACACGTCTGTGTAACACAGATGGCTAACAACAGTCCAAAAGGCATTAAAGTTTTTCGCAAACATTGCATAAGATGTGATACTGGACCTGCATAACTAATGCTTTAGTGCCACTTCATCCTTCTGTAATCGTGGGGGCATTAGTGGTGCACTTCTGAATGAAGTCTTTCAAAGCCATATAATAGACTTAATCAAATTGGTGCATTCTGCAAGTTTTGCTTGCACAAAAACTTGTCTTCCTGCTTCTTTGGCCCAGCATTTTAGGTCATGGTAGCTAATGAATATTAAGCCAGAATAATTTGGACAAAGTTTGGTCCACTCAAATTGCTGTGATATGTTAGTGCCTATTAGACTGTGTACTATTGGCATCCGATTCCACTGTTGACCTCCGCAGTTGGCTGCAACAGTTTTTAGATTGCACAATGTTTCGATAAGATGTTGTGTACCAATGTAATTGTGACTTCACTAGCATTATATCTTTATTCTGAATGTTGGAATGTTAGTGCATTCCTGAAATTGAGCCTTTGAAAACCACAGAGCAGACTCATTGTCACTTGGTGTGTTGCGTTCAGTAAGATTTTACTTGTAGAAAATCTGTCTTCCAGATATTTGTCTTCCTGGCTTAGGCCACCGCTGTTTAATCCAGTGTAACAAATGGGTACAAGGTCAAGACAGGGACCAACTTTATAGGGACCACACCATATAGTGTGAAATACAGCAAGCACGTCTACCGGTGGAATCTAAATGTGTAGTTTGCTTCAAGAGGGATATACAAAATACTTGGCAGAAAACATGAGAGGAATGTCTTTTTGGTATGATTACCAAAAAGTGAGCAACTTGCAAGCAAGTCTGCACACTTTCAAGCTCGTGGCCTAAAAGCACCTTCAGGTATTTTACTTATGCCAGCTAGCACAAACACGCATCACACTATAAACCTTCAGGCCATGAGAATGCAAAATCTATTAGTACGTATCGTGCTACTACTAAACTGTTAACCATTCTGTGGCACCTACCTACAAGCGAAAGAAGTCCATTCGCATTGTAAGTACTAATAGCAAATTCTAAAGTGTGGTTTTATTTTTACTGTTTCACATCGCAATGTTAATGATGCCACTAGCACAAAACTTGTTGAATTCCTGCAAGATTATAGACTCGATCAATTTGTGTACACGATATTGCACTGTAAAAGAATATGCGAGAGATATGCCTTAATTTTATGTGGGGTGTTGTGCGCACCAAGTGCCAAAAAATTACAGGGTTCTGCTAAACTTCGATTTTCATACTGCAATATATCGACATTGTGCACTTAGTGTAGGAATGAGTCCAGTAGTAAAATATTGTTTGCATTAGGGCCACTGAGCGGTCAGGTGAGGCTTGTAGGTGCAGCTTATGGGCTTAGGCAATCTGCTGCAAATTCGATTCCCCGGCCTTGGCAGTTGATGGCAGAGTAATGCAGAAATTTCCTGAGGGAGATGCTTTAGAGGCAAAAATAATCTGGAACTTTTCAAATAATGTTGTCTCTCAGAAGCTTTTCAGTGTGTTTAACCATTAAGCTTAATTAGCAAATCAAAGTCTAGCCTAATAAATGACGAATGGTTGGACACTGCCCCAAGATTGTAGGATCACATTTGCGTGAAACCAACTTGGATTTTATGTAATCCTGACGAAAGGGCCAAATGTTCAATGTGGCTAGGCTGTTGGGCCTGGTTAGGTTTGTAGTACAGTACTATTGTATGCCTCTTTTTGTACCTTGTTGCCCTCTATCGAACTTTTTTTATTTGCTTCGTCCAAAGCAACGAGAGCTTACATAAATATGATAACTTGCATTGTGTGTTGGACTATGAGTGCGAGGTTCCAATGTCAAGACCATGTGTTTTAGATCATTAATATCAATCGCCGATTGTTTCCTGCTGTTCTTGTTGAAAGGGGACCATTAGTCCTCAAGTGCTATTGAAATGTACTAATGAACAATGTGCACATGTGTTCCTTGCCAGGCTGTATATATATCCACTTGATTAATGCATTTGTATGACTTTTAATGGTTTCTTACATATTCCTCTGCGCCGCTTTTTGCTTTTGTCTACAAAGTCTTTTTAAAATCAAATTATTGATGGCACGGCATGGGACCTTGGTATCAAGGAGGAACCAAATTCGTTAATCTTTCATCGAAACGGCCACACCTGTGTAGTGTATCATCTGTTAGGAAGTATATATATATAGATATTTATTCTCAGCTTTCCTGTACTTTTTACATTATGGAATTTGAGCTTCGCAAACTTATTTAGGGCAGTGCTTTGAAAGTGTTGCCCTTGATATTGTGTGTGCAATGTTAGGTTTAATTTGCAAATTGATCAAAAGAGCTCCATCTCTTTTCTTCATGAGGCAAAAACATGGTCACACTTTGCAACAAAGCAATATCAACATACAGGCATTTACTTCTTATGCGGCATTGTTGTTTGTATCTGTATATGTTACTCGTTGTTCTTTAGTTAGACCAACATTACGAAATATTTGTTGTCCATTGCATACTCACTGAATAATATGCGTATTGCACTGTCTGCATAAACTAGGCAATATATTTTGGCTAACGGCCTCCCGATTTGTTGTCACATTACAGCTACTACTCACATTGTTGTTTGTTGCTTGTAGAATAATGTGACAGCCCTTTTTCTTTTGTGTGTGTTTAGGCATGCCTAGCAGCGTAAATTTTATTGTTTAGCTAACTGTGCCTTGTAGGCATTGCTTCTCAGTTTTCTTGTAATACTCCTTTATTTTTTATTTACTTCACTTTTTACTGCAATACTCTACACAATTTACAAGTTTCGCAGCATCACTATAGCTGCGGTGGCAAGAGAAGGCTGGTGTATTTTCACAAGTCGGGTGCCACGTAACATTCTGTGTCGTCATTCTCAAGTTTGCATCTATTATGTTCGCAGGATGTCCAAGGAAAGATGCTACTCGAAAAAACAAAGATTTTTTATTCTGTAGCCAAGGGCAATAAAATTTTTTCTGTTTCCATAAGTTTTTTATGCTGATTTCAAATATGAAATCAGTTTTACGGCAAGTTGCCTAGTTTTTGCCCTGTACCATGATAATGTGTAAAATATAGCTTTTTTTGGGCTGACTTTTTGTGCTACTAAAATTTTTTAATGATTTGCCTTTAATGGCTCATATTTTTTACATTGAAATAATTACCATGAAACTGTATATAAAACACTTAAATGAACAAGAAAAATTGTTATGTGCAATGTTTTAAAATGCTCAGCCCATACTAACCACTTACTTTAAGTTCATAATGCAGTAGACTCTCAATAAATGGAAAGTAGAGAAACTAAAGTGCTGCTTAAGCAGAGCAACTGCCTCTAACGCGATTGGGTTTCCTTTTTGTGCTTTGCAGCCTTGTTCATCTCTTAGTAAAGGAAACTCCTGTTAAATGGAACATATTTTCATGGTCTCTTCAGGTTTCATTTACTGAGTCTACTGTACTTATATAAGTGATGTCATGTTTTAAAGAAGATAATTGCACTATTCACAGAACATTCTGCAAAAATTTTATTCCAATCTGGTCAACAGAAGTACCAAATACATGATGTACTGTACAAATAGAAAAAGTTGCCTGAAATTGCATCTCAAGAAAAACGTATTTTAAATGTAGAAATGAAAGCTCACCTGTGTGGCAAAGATATGTGTTTCAAGATGATTTATTCTATTATGAGAACTTGGGAGTCGTGGTTAGTTTGAGCATGTGGCTTTTGTGAACCCCTCATGCAAAATGCAATGGCAAGCAGCCTGGTGACAGTTTCCAGGGCACTCTAGACAATCCACTCTTTTCAGTTTTTAATGGCCACCTTGAGCCCTTTAGAGGTGATTTTAACCTACCTCCAGTTTAACTATAACCTGAATTACTTTCTTATGAATGTAAAGAAACTAAACTTGGGAAAGTAATTAAAACAAAAAATATGCAATTTTGAAAAACTTGCATTTTTGAGTAGCATCTCCTCTTAATCTCTCTGAGACAACTATAATTTTTTCAGGAATATATCAGTGATAGCTTGAAGAATCCAAAGGCCATCAATTCCAATTGTGTAACTTATTCTGTCGAATTTCACAGATGTATGCATGTGTTATCGGTTAGACTGTGCCCCTGTGTCAAACCCGTGTGCCGGTCACGTAAGGCCTATCACACACTAGTTATAGAACAGTTTTAGGGGATTGTTAATAAATGTAGAATCGTTTGAGTACTTTAGTCTCGAAATATTTTATTGTAATCTTGGAACTTTCGAGAATCCAAAGCTGTCAATCGCATGCTGAATCCTTTACAAAAGTTTCCTATATATTCCTAAAAACTCAGCTGTGTATACAAAAAATTCTCCCCTCTCTTGTTTAATGGTTATATGTTCAGACTATGAGTTACATCAAAGGGACACTTAAGAAAAAAAATGTTTTTTTTTTGTTATTATTAAGTTAAGTTACGCTTTCACAATTCCAAAATCTCCGTGCTCGCTGTGAGAAGACACTTGGTAAGCGAGAAAACATGCAAAAATAAAATATGGGTGGTGATGCCACATTGAAATCTTTGCACCACAGGCCATGACATCATAAATATTGACGGTGTTTACTAATGCCTACATAGCTTCTAACGGGTCAAGATGAAGCACAGTATCTGCTGATGGTGACAGAGACTTGACATACCTAGTTTCAAGAAATTTTGTCTAGCTAATGTCAGCCAAATACGGCAAGTAGGTTTTGAAATTCGTGACGTCACTGGCGCAGATATAGGCATAAAATTTTCAAGTGGTCCTTTGACATTGATTTTCTCATCTAATAATGAACTTAAACAATATTATAGTTCTCAGAGAACACTTTATCTATCTAATTCATTGCTTCGCTTTAGTGTTACATTAATGAATAAATTATTTTTGCCCCATTCTCTAAGATGAAATCATCCTAATTAATTGTTTGCAAGCTTTGCTGATTTTAAGTTCACTACCACATTGTTAAGTTTCAACTCTCTTTTAATTGTATTTGCTGTACTAGCATGCTCAGTCTTCTACGCATTGTTTCTCTTTATGTAATCATAAGATTTCAAATCCACACCGTACCACAGTATCTCTTTTCTTAGTAGGCCTGAAAATGTAATGCTTTTGGGACCGCATATAGACCGTATAAATGTGCAGTCAATTCACAATCATTCATACTTTACTCAGTAACTCAACATATTGGTCAATTTGAACTGATCTTCAACATTAGTTAGCTATTTCACACAATGTGGGGATGGGTTTGCGTGAGGCCTACCCTATGAGTGCGACCAGGAAGGGATGTAATGTTCCTTCACTGCTGCAGAGCATGAAAATGCTACAGCCAAGTTCGTCAACTCTCCGACACAGGGCATAAGAGGCACCTGAAGCAGATTGTTTCCAAATACAGGACACAAGATGCTGCGTAGTGCGACATTCATAGGATTGCACGCGGCACAACACATCTTGGCGAGGCTGGTCGAGTACGCTTCTATGCGGTGCCACAGATGCTACACAAAAAGGACCGCGGAGCGCACGAATGAGAAGTCACCTGCAAAGAAAGGGCTTGAACCTCTCATTGCAGGCATGAGAGTATCTGCCATGTAGCGACCAAGTGCCCAGCAGAAATGAACTCTGGTGGAGGGGTGACAAGGGGCTGTTGCTGGCAGCCAATAGGGAAGGCGTTGCACCACGACGTATGCTAGCGCAACGTGTGGCATCATGGCCATGGCCACCCCATTGCCGTACCGTGGCTGTTCCTGATCGATCTGCATTGGGCCAGCACAATGCACTAGCTCGGAAAGGAGATGCAAGAGGGCGGCACTCCCATTACACACGTCTTCATTCTTAGCCACAACGCACTCTGTGCACTACCAAAGGCAACACATAACCGTAACACTGCCGCAGGGGTTGGCTTTTAGATTTGCCATGTGTGTGTTGTGGGGTGATGGTGGTGGTATTACTTCTGTATACAATCGTCCTTGTCTTCAAAAGGTTATGTAGCTGTTAGCCACATCATTGAGCCATTTCAAAAATTGCTGGTACTATACAGCCAGATGATCAAATGAAAGGATAGAGTAATTACAGTAGTAAATTGTTTTGAAGTAGCTTGTAGTGCATTACTCTTTATGCGCAAAATGCCAAATTAAGTAGGGCATGTCAAACATACCTCACAAGGGAGCACTGCATGAGTCGTGACTCTCAGTCCAGGACAAAACCTAAAATTTATTTTCCTGAAATGAGAATCGAAACCTCATGCAGAAATGTGACCAATCTAGGAAGAGCCAAAAGATGCAAGCATTCATAACCTTATGGTAGCATTTGATCCTGTTAATGCTGAAGCAAAACAGACCAACAGGTCCCGTAATGGAGCGAGCATTTGCATTGGAATTGAAGAAATAGATGAGATGTAAGCAAGAAATGTCCAATCAAAATGATGTTTACAAAGCTCGAGTAATTGAAGCATGCTTTCGTTAGCTGTTGAAAGTGCCTCTTTTTGTTCGCTGGCTACGCTATTTGGAGGTGCCATCAGTTGAGCTGCACAATATTATGGTAGCCCAATGATTTCTCAGTGCGCTTTGAAAACTCTTCAAATAAATTTTGTCATCTGGCAATCAGTAGTCCACAAGCGCAGTTCCAGCCCATACGGCCCGATGACCATATATGACATCACTATGTTATCTTTGTCACAGAACTCAGCGGTGCGATGACCAGTCTTGTATGGAATTCTGCAAACTTATCCATGTGCTTTGTGATAGGGACTTATAGTTATTTTTAGGTATTTGTTTTAGCATGAAGAACCATGCTCTTTGGCAATTTGAAACATAGTGCTTGGTAATTCGTATCGACATGAGTTGACTTTACAGATTGTTGTTGCATTTCTTCCCATTTGTAGGTGCACCACATGCTTTTGCTTGCATTACATGCTTTTGCGTAGGCGTTTTCTTGTCTTGAAACAGGAAGTGTCGTATTGAACATTTTCTCACAATACAGCAAAGGACATCAATCAAGCTGCAGTGTTCATATGTTATTGATCTTGGCAATTGTCTCTGCTGGAACAAAAGCTAGGTATGTTTAGTTCTCGTAGTTCTAACAGGGATTACTATCCGAGTGCAGACAGTCCAACTTGTTGCATTTCTTAAGTTTGATCACTTTAGTCCAAAGTGTGACACGTCTAATTTTTGGTTGCTAATACTTGAAAAATGCAGCAGTTCCTCCTTCCTTAATTGCACCTAGAAAGAAATGTTCTCTGAAAAAAATTCTGGAACATTAATTCACCTCAATATTTTGTATCATGAAAGTTTCTAAGCTTTATAACCCAGTTTGAGGTAATGTTTACAGCTAATTAGCTTTGCTATGAAAACAAATAAGCCTATGTGCACAATTGGTTCACTAAAAGTGTGTGGTTGACTCCTGTTACTGTGCGGTATGCAATTGTTGCAGGTAGGACCATCAAAAATCTCATTAATGCTACCAAACTAACAAAACTCCTAACTGTAAATTAATGCACCACTGTGCTCAAACATTTCAATTCTTGCTTCTTGCATAATTGTAGCAGTTTACAGTTTTTTATTGTATCAATTTCGTTTCTGTGGTGGCAATGGTCTGAATAACTTTTGCACTTTTTGTAGGTGCTACAGTGCTCAATCGAATCAGTTCGACAGTTATATAGCTTCAACATTCTGCTCAATTTTTGTACATGCAGTTCGCTGGTACTCCAGTAATGAAATTTCGCACGGTGCCTGCACTAATCTGCTTTATCTAAAACTGGGCTTCTTTCTCAGCCTTAACAGGACTGCCATTGACTTTTGTCTCTCATTGTGTCACCTAGTTTGAAATGCCGCATCGATCTGAAAAAGCGTTAATAGCGTAGAATGTTTTGGTAGTAGCAGCAGGGCTGTACCTTAGCATGATGTTACCTTTCCTCATTCAATGCAGAACAATTTGAAAACTTTCAAGCTGTGCAAGTTGCTCGATGCTTATGGTCACTTGATGAGATTATTATAGTGGTTATTACATGTCTTGTTGATTGAAATAGCGGCATGCCAACCATGACAGTGCAATGTTTCCATACTTACTGTATAGTAAACCAGCGCTGCTAAAAGACTCTATTATGCTTTACCATCTCACTTATAGCTTTTGCCTGCGTTGAGCAATTTCGGGCTTTTTTTAAAGCACTTTTTTTTGCTGCAGCAAACACTCAGCTGTTTTTTTTTTTAGGTATAGCCAAAATAGAATGATAGTGCCAAGTTTTGCATGCAAACTTTGTTTGTACATTATTGCCATTAGTGCCTTTTGACCTTGTATTTTCTTTACCCGCAACTTCACCAAGTTGTATGCCTCACTGATAAGAATTTATTGCTATCTGTGCATGTATTGTTCTTTAGTTTAGCGCTTTTTTCTCATTTTGAAATGGCATTGTCGTATTCAAGTAATTCACGCCTTATTCAGTATTTTGCAGTCTGACTGAGAGCATACACAACATAGTCATGCATGTTGTATTTAAGTTCCTTGCAATGCCTCGCTGAAGTTCTGGGTTGCACTATGAAAATGTATTGTAATTCTGAATAAAATTGTACATTCAGATCAAATCAGCATTGCTTTCTTTTTCACACTGCACACAGCCTCCTGTTTAAAACTCATGCAGTGTGTTTCATCGTTGCAGCAACTCATGGACATAGTTTGCACTTTGATGGCATCCCATTTATGAGTGTTGATGAAAGCAGTGTCAATAAACTGCCCATTTTCAAGAATGAAATTAATGTAGCCTGATGTGGCACAGTTATTGCAATGTTGAGGCACCACACACATAAGATGTGTGTTATTGCAAAGTCAAGACAGCACACACATAAGATGCATGAAATGGCACCCCACTTCCATAAAATGTGTGTTATTGCTATGTTGAGACACCATACACACAAGGTTCATAAGATGACACCGCACGTATATAATGTGTTATTGTCATGTTGAGACACCATACACGTAATGTTCAGACACCACACATGGAAGGTTAATAAGATAACACCACCCATAAACTGGGAGATGATTTAGACTCCAACGAAAAACCTACCGGAACAACTGAAGCAACACGCAAACGATGTGCAGAAGTTCTACAAAGAGCGCAGTGCAGTCGCCGAACATGCTGAGACGTTGGATCACCAGATAAATTTCGAGGCGACGGCCATCCTTGAAAGCGAGCCAAACTGGAGGAGAAGGTTGTTACTCGAGTCGATTCACATACAGAGGACAGCCCATAACATCGACCGCTCTCTCGGAACCCTTCCCCCAGTGTATACACACGGACTGCGCTACACGGCAAAACAAGAAAGAGAGAGAGGAGGGGGTCATTATCCATCCCGCGAGTGCTTTGAAGACGCTGCTGCTATGTAGCCTCCGCAATCACCCCTGAGGAAGGAACCAAGTCGGTTTTGAAACGTCGGGTTTCTTCAAAACTTTTGGTTGGAGTCTAAATCATCTCCCAGTTTAATACTCAACCAGACAGACTTCTATCAAATGTTTACATTCAAGTCACCCATATAAAATATGTATTATTGCTATGTTGAGGCACCACACACTCAAGATATATAAAATGACACCACAGACATAAGATTGTGTTATTGCACTGTTGACACGCCACTCACATGAGGTTCATAAGATGTATGTTATTGCAATGTTAAGGCATCACTCACAGATTCATAAGCTGTCGCCACACCTGTTAAATGTGTTATTGCTATATTGAGACACTAAGATGACACCACCCGCATAAGATTGTGTTACGGCAATGTTGAGACACCACACACATAAGATGACAGCTGCATAAGGTCTTCGAAAGCCACATACATGCCTGTTCACGTTGGTGGTAGTTTATATGTTGCTTAGGTTTGATGCCTCTACAGTTTTCATCTTCAAAAAACAGCACAGGAGTGGACCATGAACAAAGAAAGAAACTAAGAGAAGCGCTTTGTTTTTTGCTTTTTGAAGATTTATTATATGTATACATATAAATTCTTACACATTTTAACCGAAAGCACAAAGCAACAAAAAGCTACTCAAAAAAGTGTACCATGGTTTTCATCATCAAGATATGCCAGTTCTTTTGGATTCAAGGCAACCAGTGCTTGTCTTTGCTCCTTTGTCCGTTTTCCACACCTATGCTGTTTTTTGAAGATGCATTACCAACTAAACCTGATCTAAAGCCTTGCAGTTCTGCAGTGTTTTCATTTCACTTCTAAACTTCACATTGTGATTGAATTCTTTAATGTCGCACCTCTCTCCAGTTCACATGCACCTGGTAATTAAGTTTACGAGATCTAATGGTAGCGCTAGAACACACAGCTTGGCAAGTAAACAATAAAATCGTATCCACCAGTCCATAGCCTAAAGTAAATGCAGCAAAAATGGATTTGCCAGGGCACCTATGTGTTTTTTTATTCTTGTGGTGGGAGGAGGTCTTGGGTGATTATCAACGCACCCAAAAAGCGTTAGGTGTAAATGTGCCCACAAATGAGACACTTGGAGACGTCGATGTGTTGAGTGAGCGTTTCAATTATTGGTATCTATGGTGCTCAATGATGTCAATACTGAGGCGTCATATGAGAGCTCCATTGTGGCCTCTGGTCAGTGTCGGGTGCACATATGACAGCAAAAAGAGCATTAGACAGGATGTGTGGAAAAAGGTGCGGCATCTTTTATGCAGTCATATTCTGTGCTTTCCTTTCTTCATGTGTGTATGGTTCAAGAGCACAATTATTCTGTTTTTGAGAGAGCAACGACGAATAGTGACTATGAATTTTTTCGTTCACAGTTTGAATTCTCCAGTGCACTTCAGTGTTTCATAATACTTCAGACATTGACAGAGCCTAATCACTGTTTTAAGTTTTTTTTTTTTAATTTGTAACAGGAAAAAAAGTAAAAGCTTTTTAATTGGAAGTGGTACATGAAGAATTAATAGTAAAACTTTGTTACACTATAATGTTACACTAGATAATGACCATTAATACATAAACAGTCTTGCACCATATCAAGTCCAGTGCTGAGTTTTTTCTAGTAAATGCTGCGGCCCCTAAACTTCAACTGACAGGCCATTCGTTCCAAGGAGAAAAAAAAAAATCAAAAAGATTTCAGTGGGAGAAAATAGTTGCTGATGCAGGAAACGACCACTGAAAAATACTCGGGTGCTTGGTTGCATGCTGCCTGCATCGTCCTCGAAAGTTTCACTTTGCGTGACTGAAAGTACAGTGTGCTTCTAGTACACTCTACTGAAAGTTTACATTTATTGTTAGTTTTATTAACGTGATGGAAGTTTCACGTGTAGAACGCTTGCACTGGAAGTCTCACATCAATCCAACACGCGATCCAGCGATAGACTGATGTTGTTTAACAGAACGATATGTCGTTTGCGGAAATAAGATATTTCCTGTGTTCTGCCGTGCCATCCCGAACCTTCGGCAGTCGAACGTTTGACCTTGTGCACAGCTGCGCCATGAACTTGCCGCTGGGTAAAGTTCGACCGAGAGGCGACACCGTGCCTAATTTGACATTCAAAATCAAGGCATCACTTGCGAATTCTCTCGATTTTTTTGTTTGTTTCTTTAAGCAATTTGCCCTTCCCGCCCAATCTTTCATTTCCGGAGGTATCGCGCTGGCTGAACTCAAAGGAAAGCTGCCGAGAACGCAGTAGAGGTGAAGTGCCCTCTCGTAGCCGTGTGTTTCAAAAACGCGTGTTTCACTGAATGTGTAAAGCTGCTACGGTCGCTTATTTCGGGGGCATTTAAAGGGTCAGAAAAGAAGGTTTTTATGGTCTTGGTGTCTGGTGACGTAATAAGACGTCACTGTTTACCCATGCTACATTGCAGTTTTTAACATGTCGTCCACCATCTTTTGAGGCAACATCAATCGGTCCCTCAAATCCACTCCATCCAGGTAAATAATTCGATGATACGGCTTTCGTACCCGAAAAATAAAGTTTCGACTGCCTTGACGATGCGCCTGCTTCCGTTCGTTTGCAGTGCAACTTTTTTTCACCTAACTATGGGCACTCCCCGCAGAGCCCCTGCATGTTTTTGTAGTCGCCATGACTGCATTGTCTTACGAAAGAAGTTGCAGTGCGTAATTTTTGCTGCGGAACACCGTTTCGTGTACCAGTTAGGCTGTTACCTTGCTCTTTGTTCTGTGGTGCGGGTTTAATAGCGACGGCTTTTTAATGGTCCTTGTTTGCAGCGTGAATGAAGTGGTTTGAGCAACAGGACCCCAGCAGCAATGCTCGCCAACGGCCAAGAAATGAACCCCGTGTCTAATGTGAGGCATGGGGCTACTCGATCGCAGGACGATGCAATGGTCGGATACTTCTTCCAGCGCCCACAAAGTGACCCGGATTTCCAAAACTACAACAAGCAATCCCGCTGGGCATTAGGCGACGACAGCGTACTCGAAGTAAGTGCCGTTCCTCCCGACTTCCTCGCCGATCTGCCTGCGCGTGCGCGATCGCATCGCGTGAACATCGTGAAAACTGTGTGCATCATTCGTGTGTGTGTGTGCGCGCATCGCCAAGCTCGTGCTTGCTCGCGCTGATACGCGCTCGTCTCTTGTCCCGACTTTCTGCACCACTCGCATTCCGCGTCGCCGTGGTAGGCCTACGCACCCCCTGTTTTGTTTATTGCCGATCGTGACTAATGAAAAGCGTATCTTTTGCAGTCAGGCTAGTATCTGCGCAGAATGGCACGTAGATAACGTATTTTAAGCCTCTGGTGCAGTAGTCGACCGCACGTAGTCGCCGATTGATTAGTTTAGTCGCATCGAAGCGCTCGTCCTTGTGCCGATGTCATTGGTTCACTAGCCGTCCGGAAAAGTTGCGCCGAAACGAAACGAGTTGCAAGCCTCGAGAAGAACGTATTTTACTGCTGCAGCACTCGGTGGGCTTCGAGGAATTAGTGATTCAATTATCAGCGCCTAGTTTTTTGCTTGCACGGTGTCGTGTTTCACGACTTTCCGTTCGCGGGAGGAAAAAAAAAACGTAAATGGCAGCCAAGGTGTCGGCGCAGAAGCGTGGGGTTGCTTTGTAACGGCGCCGGAACTACCTGGTTAATGCTTATTTAGCGATGACAACTTTCCCGTTGTCTTGTGTGCCTGGTCTGCGTCTTTACGTTGCTGTCAGTGCCGTGCCGTTCCTTCTTGTTTGCCGCTGGTAAGCCTAACCTACACCCCTGCACGAGCGCAGCTCTTTTCGCATTTGCCCTCCCGAGTTACATGCAAATCAGCAGCGCGATCGGGCGATTAGCGGCGAACGGCAACTGCAAGCTCGAGGCGGATCACCTGTGCAGCAAAAGAAAAGTAAACAAAAACATTAGCCGTTCACCATGCCATGCCTCAGCAAGTTCGTGGGCCGGTCTCAGTGTTCCGACAACGAAAATGGAGAAGCGCTGGTAAATTACCACTCTTTATTTCCTAACCTCAGTGTTATTTTTGCCGCCGAGTGTGAAAACTTTCCGTTTAAAGTTTGTAGAACGGACTCGTGAACTTAGGCAACTCGGCAGACGTTGGTCAGTGGCCAAACGGGATGTGTCATGCAGCCTATATTTAGTTGTGGTTGCTACACATTTCTGACTCGCATTTTGGTCGGGTGTTTTCGCTGCAGGGAACTGCATAAGACGATTGTGCAGCTTTGCGATTAGATTGTTACGATTACCCAGCCATCTTGGCCCTGTTGCACCATCATTGAATTATGGAATGCAGAATGTAGTCGCAGTGATGTAATCATGCTATGTAACTGGTTGTGGCAACTGAAATGCTTAATAAGAGAGACATGTTTCGCATGTTGTTGATATTTCAGTGCATGAGTGATGGTCATGGCTCTTGATGGTAGCCCATTTACTTAGTGACCTTGAACTAGTTCTTCAACAGATTTTGCAAACAGATTGACAAAATTTTTCATGCTAGGAATGCTTTCTCTTTTTTACCTTTTGCACATCGAAGTAGGTATCAGTGCTCAACATATTTGGTGAGATTTCTCCTGTGTATGCGAAAATTCTATTTTGACATTCCTAAATCTCGTGAAAATTTATATGCCCTGCACACCGCTGCAGTTGCGTCCAATGACCTGTATGTAAATCAAATATTGTATTCACAGTCAGCATTTTCAATGCTTTACCGCGTGCATAGGAAAAGCAGCAATTTTGCTATTGTATCCGAATGATATATTTGCAGTTGTGCTTGGGTAATTTTTCATGCGGCATCTTGTGGCATTATAATTTTGTAGGAACTGGCATCTTTGTATATTAAAAGCAATTCCACTATTTAGCGCTGTGGTGAGCTCCTCTTTGCCGACGTCTCTGTATGCCACGCTTGTGGTGCACATTCATCATATAGGGCGTATGCACTGAGCCTTGATCCACAAGGGGGCATTACTATCGCTGCACCATTTTGAAGGTCCATTCGTACGTGTGTCCAGCTGTTCGTGCTTCAGCGTGCAGGAGGTGTTCTAGAGGTCACCAGACATCAAATTTGCCGCATGAATCTCGGATCCAGCACATGCAGCGAGCTTTTTGCGCTTGTGGCGAGCGTGCGGACTGCCAAAATGGCGACCCAGACACTAGTGATCCTTACGGATGGCGTTAAGTGCATACCCCTTATGCACAGATTCTTGTGTAGCTTTTTGGTTAATAGGCCTTTTCCGGGTAGGTAGTGTGCGCACGCGCACCGGCCTCGTAGAGGCACGTGCCATGATTTTTGGTGGCTGAAACGTGATGCCACGTGCGGACCAAGTGACATCTGGTGTCACAAACATGCAAAAGTTGGCCCCAAAGGGAGGCGCAAACGCAGGTCTCCGAGATTGTCTACCGGTATGTGGCAGGCAGTTTCGGAGTTCAAGAGCCACCAGTTTTCATTTTGGTGACCTCCACTTGGGGTGCTGTTCGGACTAGAAAAAGGTCCATTGTTATGTATTTTTAAAGGAGCACTGACATAAAATTTACTCATGTCAAGATTTTTGCGTTGAGTAGCTGTCGACCCCCTATTAGCGATTCGCGACCTAAAATACATCTGAGTGATGAATGAGTATCTGTAACATTGATTATATATTCGCTATTGAACGCGGTTCAATATGTGTGGAAAGCCTGCCAAGTTGTAGTGCTGGCAGCACTACCTCGCAGCCACATCGAGGCCGCTGCACAGCTGATGCCGCTTCCACAAAAAGTGGTGACGTCACACTGGCGTTTCGTCTGCTAGGAACGCACGTACAGTCAGTCCAGCTGTGTCTCTGAAGGAGTAGACATGCCTACAGGTCGCCAACATCATCGTCCTTGCCGTCGTCGCGGTCAACATCAGCTAGTGGCGATGACAGCGACCTGGAATTGGGTATCGCCGGGATTCGTGACGATCCTTGCTTGACAAGCTCCGCATTAAATGCAATGTATCAGTCTCGACTGTGTTGTCGGAGCTCAGGAGCACCAGCTACGCACCTCATGTCGCGGACATTTGGAGAGTAAATCGCTGCTTTCAGCTGCAGCAGGGCATAAGGTAGGAATAGCCGTAGCCTCGAGAAGAGGCCTCGTACTGTCAGTGAAACCCAACTGGTTCGCAAACACAGGATTTACCCTGTAGCAGCTCGCCGCAAATGCGACTGTTCTCACAGACATCGAGTCCCTCTGTTCAACGGCGCGTGCGAAGTCAACCCACTGGCTGCGTTGAGGTTGGTGGCTTGGAAAGGCATGAAACGCCACGCACTTTCCGCTTTTTCCACGCCTAGACGTGCAGGTTCTCATTACGCAGCAGTTCCCCGACACTTTGGCACGTATTGTCGCTCTGAATGACCGTACTCACACGCAGTGGAGCACAACGCAAATCAGTCAATGCGATACAATGAATCGCACGCACGCTTCAACATACCAGGGAGAGCCACTAGTGTGGGGGTTGGCTCCAAACACACTGAGATTGTCGACTTCATCGTTACTAGCTTATCGTCACTCAGGATGGTATTTGTAGAATGTATCACACCGAAACACGTAGCACTAGTGTCGATGTCACAGGGCAGTCTTATTTTTCGCTTTTTCTCTAGCTTTTTTATGCTGTTTGACGTTGAAATAAAATAACTTCGACGCGACGGACGCCATTGAAATTTGGCCAAGAAGACCTATGCATACCAAGTGATCGAATGATGGGCACATCTCGATCTTGAAATTTGATGTCGTGCTTCTTCAAACATCATGCTTTTATATAACATTAAGTATGTCATTGCTGACTGTCCTGTCTAGCATACATCACTGTTTGACTGTAGAGAACTTGCTGAATCCTACTGATCATTTTGCTATTTTCTTAGTGGTCTCTTATTTTGTTTCATCGCTCAGCATGAAAAAGTGTATGTCCATTTTTATATTAGCAGTCATATAAAAACTGATATCAATGTTCTTTTTTTTTCCTTTCTGGGTTGGTTCTTGTTTTTGCATGTTGTTTTTATCATTTTTTACGGTTTGCGGGATGCGCCAAAAAAATGCCAAGAAAAAGTTTTTTGGATTTCATTTCTGGACTGCAGTGATAAATCAAGGAATTTTTGTGATTAAAGGTGGCGCCTGCGCACATAAATTCAGGGTTGGCACACCAAGTTTCACGTAATGTCTGTATGTAATATAAGCGTGGTCATAGCTTGTCCGCACTATATGTACTGGGGATCAAAAGCATTTATTGTATAAGTAAAATATTTAAAAAATAATTGCCACATTACACTGTGCTGAACGGTTACCATGATGCAAACTTTCCAGTATATCCCTATTAAAGGCACACAGTGATTTGAGGCAATTAGCGACATCATTGGCTGGCTGAGTAAAAAGCAAAAGGGAACATTTCATGTTGTCCTCTGCTTAGGTTTTTCAACTTTGAAGTTAAATAACTTCATGTTTTCGGGCAACAGTCCAGTGCTGATGAATGGCAAACGTTGCAGGGCCTCTTTAATAGCATTAGTTGCGCTGGTACCATTGGTGTCGTAATACCTACATCGCTGGAGAAATTTATCACAGCGTCAGGTGTCGTTTTTGTGAACAAGTGTCGTGTAAAAAAGGTGTGCAAGTCTTGCACCAGGGTGACGGGATCAATTCTTAACCTATGTAAATCTGGCACGGGAGAATTTAGTAAGTGTGGATAAGCATATCTTACTAAAATGCATTCTTGAGCCATAGAAAACAGATCAGGTTACTCGGGAACAGCAAGTGCTATTGATGTATGTGGTGCCGTGCGACAACTAGTGCTATTGATGTGTGTGGTGTTATGCGACAACTGAGTATTTCATAACTATGACTTGCGAACTTAAATTGTTGGCTGCCTTCAAAGGTAGCATAAATCATTTTTAATATATTCAAAACAAACCACACGATTGCCTCTATAATTTCTCTAAACCACGAGCATTGGAAACGTTCACTACAACTGAGTATTTCATAGCTATGACTTGAGAGCTTAAATTGCTGGCTGCCTTCAAAGGTAGCATAAATCATTTTTAATGTATTTAAAACAAACCATACGATTGCCTCTATAATTTCTCTAAACCACGAGCATTGGAAACGTTCACTACAACTGAGTATTTCATAGCTATGACTGGCGAGCTTAAATTGCTGGCTGCCTTCAAAGGTAGCATAAATCATTTTTAATTTATTTAAAACAAACCATACGATTGCCTCTATAATTTCTCTAAACCACGAGCCTTGGAAACGGTCACTCTTTTTTTTTGTGGTTCTTTGCTCTGAGAAAAGTAGTGGAGTTCGTTGCCAGTTTTGTCCTATGTGATGGTGTATGAAATCTGTGTATAGGCAGCGATTTCCAGATGATTACAGAACATCCTTCTCATCTGCAATAATGGCAAAAAAGCTTTTAAGCCTTTCTTTTGCTCTAGTATATATATTGATCGTCAACATCTGTAAAAGAAAACTTAGAGCACACAGTCCTAGCACCATTCAAATGCCACAAGCACATAGTCGTAAAAATAAAAATTATATGTTACCTATTGAAATACTCTTTCTCGTGTTAACAACCGCAAAAGTGAGGGGCTCGAGAGGCAGCTCAAAATTTAATTTCTAGAATATTTAGTAGCCATTTTGCTTTCTTTGTGACTCACGTTTGCCAACTGTTGTGGCAAGGCTGGCCGGCACACTGTTGCGAGTTTTAGCTCTTGTCTCGAAGTGTGCATTTGCTACTACTTTTCTTTTTCGTGTTTTGCAACTTACCTGTCAAGTCTGTGCAATGTTTGCAGGATTAGTGAACCATGTTGGCATAAATGAAGTGCTTTTGCTTTGTTGTCAATGCTGGGTACAGTCTCAAAATGTAAAGAGAACTGGCACAGCTGCGAACAATTTTCACTGCCAGATTGCTTGTACTAACACGTTGACAATATTGCCCCTGTCTACGTAAGTGTTCAGTTGGCGAGCTGATGTGGATTTTATTGTGTTCTAGCTAGAAAACGAGTTCATTCACTGTCTCCCCTGTGTTCTTAAAAGTACAAACAAGCCGCAGGCAGAATTGTCTGTCTGAATGGTAGCCCTAGTTAGAAATACTGAATATTTTAATGGTGGGGGAAAAAGCACGAGCTCTTGAAGGTTTCGATTCATCTGTATCCCATTTTATTGATACTAAAACATTTTCCTGCTATACATCCATTTTTTAAAGTTCATGACTAACTTGTTAACTAGTGCTTTTATAGGCTCAAAAAGTTCATGGGGGCAGAACTTTCTAGTTGCAATTGAATATAGTTAGCATTTTGTTCTTATATGCATTCATTATAATGGAAGAAGCTGTTGAATAGTTCACAAGCATTGGGCCTCAAATCTTAAGGAAATAGGAACTGCAGGGAAACAGCGGGGGCAGTGTTAATTCATGACTGCTACCACTCCTGAGCTCTGCAAAATTATCGCCAAGTTCTTTGAGCACTGTACGCCATTTTGCATGCACTGTCAACAAAACTTGTACAGCACATCTTTATTCTATTTTGCCGCAAGGATACTACTCTTTGTGTTTTGCAAAAGCCTCCACAAGGCTTTCTTGTTACTTGTCCAATGCCACTAGACGGGATGGCGAAATCACAAAGCTGATTGTTCCAAAATTTTTGCCTAGTTAAAGATATGCATGCCACATCAGCTGATGCGCCATGTGTGACTGAATGCGAGCATATCTTTGCCGCATCGACTCGGGCAATACAAAGGTAAAGCTTATCATAGGCTGAGAAGTGTGCTGCCCTGTTTTATTTATTTATTTCTAGAAGAAGTCTATTGCCAGACGTATTCAGTGCATCTGCGTGATTGAATGCCTCATTGAATGATGCCACCTGTAGCTTTCTTGTAACTGCTAACACACTGCAAGACGGAGTACAATTGCTTACATTTATTACTCTTACAGAAAGATATTGCATACTTTCAGAATTGCCTTAGGCACATATTTGTTTCTAATACTCGTACATCTTTTTGTTAATTTTGGAGTGGGAGAGAACTTGTTGCATTGCTTCTAAATGAAACTAAATGCAAAGCATTAATTTTTGTCGAGTTACCAGTAGTGATTTTCCTCACAGTGTGCTCAACATGGCTGAGAGCCATTAACCTCTTAACTGCTTTTATTATTATTTTTAATTTCCAGTGAAAAGTGCCTTTTTTTTATTGCTAATTTTGATCTTGGTTGTACTAAAAAATAGCTAGTCAGTGTTGAATAAATATTTTCACCACATGCTTAGTCAAATCAACGGAATAAAGTTTATTTCTGAACAATATATAGGGAACCAGCTACGTGCTGCTAATCAAATTATAAACACAACAGTTACAGGTGCCACATCTTTCTTCATTTGTGTAGGCTAAGCACACTTGAGGTACTTTACTTGGGACGCTTCGAAACTGTGTGGAAAATTTCAAAATTCGGAATAACCCAAAGCGGCTTCGCTGGCAGGCACTTTCAATGTTAGCGTCCGAGGTGCCTTCATCATCACCGGAGGAGCTTCTCATTCACCGTCATTGCTGTCTTCACTTCCGGACAAAAGATAAATATCTTTACACGAATCAGCATCACTCGAAAAAGATGGCGAAAACGAATAGCTTCTTTTTCATCTTCACGGGCCAGCTAGGCATGGGTCGCCGCCACCGCATGCCGGTTTCAAAAATCTATACAAAAACCATGCTCCTGCCACAGGAGAAAACTAAATCCTCTAGCAAATGCTGCTATCTAGTGAATAGCACTCAATGTAACCCATAAATGCGCACTTCTCCGCCTGAATACTAGAGGGGAGTACCTATATCGCTAGGACGAGCTCTGCTTGTGCAAAGCACTGAAGGGGTTAATAGAAGGTTAGTATGTTTGGCAGTGCATTAATCTCACGCAAAAATACCCCCCCCCCCCCCCCCTATTTTTTTGTTTTCGAATGTAATTTATTCATTGTGCATTGTATGGCCCTGTACTGCAAAGATGAGTACACCACAGCTGCCTTGTGTGTCCTGCGTATTGATTTCCTGCTCTCTCCATTTTCTGCCATCATATAGGCCCGTGGCACAGAAGCACCAGAACTGGAGACAGACTTTCAGGCCCTCGCCTTAGAAACTAGTCATCAACTAGAGGTAAGTTTTTTTTTTCCCCGAATCGCCTCGCACTAATGGTTCCTCATAGCGTAGCTGCTCGAGTTGGGCTTATTGTTGCATTGCGGTGTCACTTTTGCCAATGCCAGAGCGCAGATGCACTTGGTGCAGTTTTTTTTTTTTTTTTTCAAACATTTAAAATTTATTGTATATGTTCCACTTTTTCTTGACTAGAAAAAAAAATAGTCACGTCGTTGTGGTAAAGAAAGTGGCATGCAGTCGGCAAACAGGAAATGCTTTATTGGACAAGCTTATGTGCCCTGTAAAAGATGGACCTAATGTACAAGCAACACTCGCAACACTGATAATAGCGGTGAGCATAGACATCGGGCATCGACTAATCTGCTTGTTTGTGAAATGCATTTGCTGTTGATGCTTATCTAACCTTTTAGCACTATTAGTGATGCCCTCATCAGTTGTATAATAAACACAGTTACTCGTGTCCTGCACTTGATTTTAACAGAACAGTCTGTAACTGTCGTGAAGTTACGAACATTTCAGCATGGTCTGTGACGAGTAATGGTATAGGGCTTTCATGACTGAAGCCCGATCAGATTAACTAACTGTTTCGTATGAGCTCTGCTTGACCACTTGGGATATTTCATCATGAGCATTTGAACGAGACTCTCTCTTTTTTTTTTTTTTTTCAAGCTAGTTTGTGTGATGTTTCACAGGTGGCAGCATTTGCTTGGCAATTATTTTATTGAGCTGCCATTTCACATTTTTCGGCGATTTGTGTTTAGAAAATGTTGTGCAGTGAAGGCGACACGTGTGTTGCTTGTGCATCGTTGCAGAAAAAAGCCGTTCGTCATCGTGCAGTCCTTCAGCCGCTGATTATTCAAATACGAAAGTCACACTTGGTATATTCACCAATTCCTCGGGGATGACTATTTTGCAAATCGTGAAAGACTCTAATGGGCCATGGAGCAGTAAACTTTAAGCTAATTTCTATGATTGTATGCCTGAAAATTTTTTCGCCAATCAAAACGTACTTTTTAGAAGCAAAAGATTCTATATAATACTTGGCCAGCCACACTAATGCTTAGGACAGATGACCAGTGGTCAGTAAGAGCAATGAAATGGATACTAAGGTACAGCCGAGTATGACTGATGGTTAGGTTAGGGTAAGGAAAGCCAAGCTAGCTGCCATGAACACACTTCAGACACACACTGGGACACATAGTGCCCGTGTCGCCTCTCTTGCCTGTGTTCTTGTGTGTTTTTTGTGCTGTTTCACAATAGGTTGAGGGATAATATGTTTGCAGGCATAAAATGGAATCTTTTTTTTTTTTTTTTTTGCAAGGTGATAAATTTTGGGGAACACCTTTGTCCTGTAGTGGACAGGAATGGGCTGAGGATGACATGCCATAACAAGTACACTAGTCTTGTTCTTGCCGCAATAAAGATTCAGATTTTGTGAGTTTTCAACGGGGTTGTTGGCACATTGTATAGAAGGTTCCAGAATGTCCAGTGTTGACTCATTTTTTTCTAGTGTTCAACGAATTTTCTTGTGATATGATTTTTCGCTGTATGCTTCTACAGCTGGGCACCAAAAATGTTCTGAATTTACAAGAATTCGTTTTAAGCAGAGGTTTAAAACATCAGCCTTCTCATGAATCTCTTCGAAGGTGTAGCTTATAAAAAAAATTAAAGTATAGTGCGACTTAATTGGTTCTCTGTTCGTATCTCAAGCTGAGCTCTTAGCACTCACCTGTACACTTCATAATTATAATGCCATTTATAGCAGTTCCCTCTTACATTGTAAAGTATACAGACGACGAAAATGCGTGCCAATATCACTGCCCTGCTGTTTAGCTGTTGCTGTTCAGAGCATCGTCAGAGAAATGCTCTCAACAGCAGAGCCCCTCGCCATCATGCTAGGCAACAGATGCATCATTCCTCACAACACTCTGCAAGTGGCAGTCTTACTCTACTTACGAAAAGCCACATCGCACTTCCAAGAACTTCCACTTCTTCTTTTTCAGTGCCCATAGTCAGTTAGCACGGTGAAGAAGTAGAGTGAAAGATTCTGTGAGGCTGGACGTTGGCAGAGAAGAGTGCATTTGGCCAATGGAGCAGGCAACAACTGCACGGCAAGATGGCCGACTGATGTGAGCAGTGGGGTATTTGAACAGTAGGAAATTCCAGTCACCACAGGCTGCAATTGAGAATCGACGATTAGATGGAAGTAAGTGGCTTGGGTTCTGTAGAGGTTGCGATTCAACACGACTGTTCCACTCGCCAAGATGTAGGCGACTGCATCTGTCATGTTGAGCCACCATTTCAGGTAGAATGCATTATTAGGGCACAATGCTACGTTGACAGCAGACGTCTGGCCTTCCGCCTTGCTTTGTGTGATGCAGCTGCCGGAAGCTGCACTGTGAGGGAGTGGGAATGGAGGTGTCGCGGGGTGGTGACACTGTACCCTCGTGTGGCGTGCAGATCCCCGCCTCGACCAAGAAGCTGTGGTCACTTGAGGAGACGGGCCCCAAGCCCGAGGACAGCAAGGGCCTCTTCCTGGGAGACCAGTGGAGAGACCCCACATGGAGCACAGGTGGCCATGCCAGCACCTCTGGTGAGCACAACTCTGTTAGGAGTTTTCATGGAATTATTGTGCACCCTGTGCACTTCACTGATAGAGCAAAACTCGTGGCTCACTGGGTCATTGCCGTAACACAGCATACTCAAGTTGAGTTTCGTTATTTTGACCTTTATTTGTTATTGTCATTTCATTTTCTTTTTTCTTTGACATTGCTTGAAAATGTGGCAGCCCGGAATGACAGCATTACACACTGGAAAAATGTTAGTCAGCTGAGTGCCTTCGAATAATAAAGTTACAAGATTTGTCAAGATTGTTTTTTTCCCATTTATTTGTACTGTGGTTACTGGCTATTGTGGGTCACTGACTCGTGAAATACACGGCAGTGCTGAGTTAGTGGCGTTCGTATGTGTGCAGAGCATGCCGTGTCACAACCAATCATGGTTCAGCGACGGAGTGGTTCCTACCCTGGCAGCGAGGGTGCCTCCATGTTGTCGCCACGCTCCTCTGAGACCTCGGGCCTGGGTGTCAAGATGGTCGAGTACGTGCTGGGAAGCTCTCCCACCATCAAGGATCTAGACTCTCGCATGGTTGGCCGCATGCACGTTGGTCCTCCGGTGAGTATGGCATGTTTGCTGCCTTGCTTTCTGGTCTTCTTGTGACATCTTTGGATTGTCATCGACATCCTTCAGAAATTAGCGGACCAATTACAGAGTTGTGCTTGGACCAAATGTTATGATGGTCTGTCAGCTACCTTGGAAGCTCTGCAGGAGATGAAGCTCTGCAGGAGATAAAAGTGCTTGCCAGTTTATCAGTCTATAACAAACTGGTGTTCCAAAATAACCAGGACGGGGTACTTGCCTCGACCAGGCCTTGCACAACCAGACTAAAAATTGCCATGAGTGCCATTTATGCGTTACGCACACGTTATTATTGTGATGTTCTAGTACTTAAGGAGGGACGTGCCTTTCGGAACGAACTTTCTTGTTTCTGGTTAGATCTTGATGAAAATTGGCACAGAGACAAAGAATGACCTCATAATACTTCCATAAAAATTTCAAGATGATATCATGAAAACTTTCTGAGAAACGAATACTTTCATTACTGGACCTCGTGGAGCGGCTGGAGAGTTTAAAAAAATGACATAGAAAGTTGGTAAACACTGTGTGCAGGGGTGAATGTATGCGGTAGGGGGCTGCGTTTTCAAAATAATTTTTTTGCAACACTGAAATTTGTAGTTCATGTTTTCTCCACTGATACTTCAATGAGCACATTTGCACTACAAACAAGAAACCCTACCAAAAATTTTTAAAAGACTAAATTTTAAAAATAAGAATGCAGCCCCCTGAAGCACAGTTCAAGGAGCATTACAAAAAAAACAATCAAAATTTGTCAAGTAGTTGCGAAGATATCTGCTCCACGAACTGAGCAACATGCCAAAAAAACAGTATTGAGAAAACGAGGTTCAAAGTCTTGAGTCACGGTTTACATGCCTAATAGGCATCAGGGTTGTAGTCCTTAGTGTCCTTTGCAGTGCGGCGTCGTTTGGCCATCTGACCTTTAGCCTGATGAGCTTTGCAGCCAGCCTTTTTTTTCCGCATGGCATCTTTTTCGGCTGCTCTACGAAGTGCATGGCGTCCAGGTTGGAGACCAAGAGATGTGCAAAGTTGGGTGTAGGCATGGAGGTTCCCAGCGTTATACCTTCAGATTGCTTCACTGACAGCAGTTTCTGCGGCTATCGATGAAGCATGCTCTTCTTTGGGCAGAATTGACCAAATAATTGAGTGCAGGCTTTCGGCAGCATTTTGAGCTTTTTGCCCTGGCACCGCGCAAGAAGCTGTGGGTCCGAAATTCGCTGGTACACAGGCAGCAGGGCAGCGGCAACGTGTCGTCCCAGGTGGTACTTATGGGGTGGCTGCGGTTCACCTTTAGCTTCTGCAGCTCAGTGTCTGCACCAGCTATCAGGACCTGGTGGGCAAAGTTCGTGGTGTTGATCCTGGTCAGTCAAAGTGGTGTGGTAGAATGTAGCCATGACCGTTCGCTGCATATCTTCTACTTCAGCATGCTGCCTAAGGGCTTGGCCATAATTGTCAGTCAGTTGCTTGATTAAATTTTGTGTAAGGCCACCTTTTCCGCCGATAGGTTGGTCTTTCTTGCTCTTTGTGACGATGGCCCGCAGGGCTGTGCCCATCCTCTTTTTAACATGATTGATACAATCTTCTTTCTTCAGGGGTATAAAACCGTAAGTCTGGTCCTGACACAGGGCTGTGCCCATCCTCTTTTTAACATGATTGATACAATCTTCTTTCTTCAGGGGTATAAAACCGTAAGTCTAGTCCTGACACAGAGCTAAGAAAGTGCGGCTGTCGCCATCTCAAACGATGGTTGTGTAGCGCAGGTCATTTTTTTTTAGTGAGCGCCGAAACAGGATGAGGGCCGCTTCGACTTCCATTTGGCCCGAGTTTGCCTCTGTGTTTTTCTGGCAAACATGTGCTTCCTTCCATTCACTGTAGCCGTCGTCGCCTTCTTTGGGGCCCACAGCACATCCATTACAGTAATTGTACAGGACAACTCTGTCAAGCACTAATCCAGTGTAGAATTCAATGACCGTGCTTACGTCGATGTGGAACGCGTGGCCGCGTGTCATCCACGTCCCGTCGTACACCACCGTGACATTCTTGGTGGGTGTTCCCTCCATTTGGCTGTACACATTGCGAACGGCTGCAACAGCGTCGCAAAACACACGTGCCGCGGCTGCTGCGCCAGCAGGCCGAAATTCCCCCTTGGGATGCCTTTGAAAAGTCTTGTGGTGAATTCCCCTATGTGATACATTCATCACAGACCAAAAATCACTGAGTGCAGCTGATCCCTTTCCAATAGTTTTTATAGCTTGCATGGCCCAAATATTTACCTCAAATGACTTGCTGTTTTCCATTCGCGGCGACGACCACGCATTTTTCGCGCCCGCGTCGCAAGCAGTGCAGGTGAGCACAGTCTTTACCGCTAACCCGTGCTTAGTTCCGTGCTTCATCTTGAGTCCCGGCTCTTTGCACTGCGGGCACAGGGCACTGCCAAACAGACCATTCAGGGCCGCGCGTTGCACGAGAAAAAACTCGTCTTCGTCTTCCGTTTCGATGTCGCTCTCGTCCCCTTGGTCCATCAGTGACATCTTGCGCTCCGTCGCAGACACTGCTCTTAGGGACTCCTGAACAGCCGCGGCGCGTTCGCGAGATGCCTCCGCTGACATGAAACGAGGCTCTAATCGGGCCGAATCGTGCTACTGGTGGTGCTCGTAGACGGCCTCGCATCCTCGCGCGAAGTACTTGGCTGAGCATCCGCGATGTCTACATCCTCGCGCAAAGTGCTAGGCTTAGTATCCGCGGCGTCTACATCCTCGCGCGAAGTGCTTGGCTGGGCATCCGCGATGAATACATCCTCGCGCGAAGTGCTAGGCTTAGTATCCGCGATGTCTGCAGCCTGTGCGGAATAACGAACGGATGTTTCCTCAGACAGCACAAAGCACTGCTCCACAGGCATATGAACAGTTTCGTCGATGCTCGCGGGCGATGCTCCGTGCGTGCTTGTGCTCGGCTGCGAGTCCTCGTCGTGCCACATGCCGTCGTCGCTGCTCGCAGAAGTTGCCGGACTGAATTTCTTTTGCACGATCGGCGGCTTCGGCTTACGAGCACCAAATCGCTGCGCAGTCTTGCGTTTCTTCTTGAACGATCGCCGGTCCATGATCGCATGCGGGAACCGATCTCAAAACTGCAATGCGCCAAACTGGATAACAACATTTTTCTCCTTTCACGAGCGCCGGTCTTATCGGAGCGCGATGCAATCTCGAAACCACACCGCGACGAGTTGAAAACACATGCAGTAAGCGGCCCGTCAGCGCGTAGAGCAGACGACCTTTGCGCACGCCGGTCTTTTCGCAGCGCGATGTGATCTCGAAACCACGCCGCGACGAGTTGAAAACACATGCAGTAAGCGGCCCGTCAGCGCTGGATTCTATCCAGCCATTCAAACGAAATTGGCCTTTTGGGAGTGCTTTAGAGCCCTCAAGAGTTCTCTGGAGATATCCATCTCCAGATGACGGTTCTCTAAGGCTCTAAAGGGAGGTATATATCAAAAGCAACCTACAGTAGACTCTCATAGAAATGTGAAGGCACTAGGAAAATATGTTCTATTAAGCAGGAGTTCCATTTAATGAGGGATGAACAAAGGATACAGCTACGAAACCAATCTTGTCAAGAGCACTTGTTTCATTTGAGCAGTAGTTTGATTTAGGGTGGTAGGCCACCTTCAAAAGTCTTTTTTTTTTTTTCTCTAAATACATTTTTAGGGTTTTGTTTTTCTTGCACGCCCAAACATTCACATATATGTTGCAACAAAAATTATCCTCCTAGCGTCATTAGTTTGCGAGTTACAGCAAGTTTTCTATACCCTAAGCTCCTATAGCAAAACCGAAACCACATTTCCAACTGTGGTTTCGGTTTTGGAAAATCACTTTCAGAAGCAAGTGTTGTTTCGTCTATATTAATGCTATTCAAAATACTTTATGCATTTTATTGTGACTGTTATACGAGATGATGTCATTAAAATACAACTTTCTGTTTAAAAGTCTTCGTTAATCTCTAACAACAGCCACAAGGGGGACGCACAATGTTCGTCGGAATTTTTGTTGTTTGCCTTGATCAGGCTACGTCAGGCTTCGTTCTGCATTTGTTTCATGTCAACGCTACTAGGGCTGTATCCTTAGGGCACCTGGACCATATTACGTCCAGCATGGGGAAGTGCAGAACACATGAGACGAGGAAGCGCAAGTTTGCTGGAAATCGCTACACGACGATGAGGCTGCCTACTGACACAGACGCCGGTGTTTCGGCGACCGCGAAGAAGCTTGGGGACATAAACAAGGCGTATCAGGCTCCACTAGAGAATTCTGCGCTCCAAGGGACGCAAGACTGAAAGTTGGGCTAGTTGGTGATACATTATGGGCAGAAACAGCGCACAAACTCACGGGACGAAGAGAAGAGACACAAACAAGCGCTGACTCTTAACTGAAGAATTTATTGAAATATACAAGTTATCTAAACACATAAGATAAAAATGCACAGAACATGTGCAGAGGCCCGGCGAAGGATCGTGTCAACGTCATTAACAATTTTGTGCTACGGGTAACTGCGCAGGCGCAGTTACCCGTAGCACAATTCGTCGCGAAACCATTTGAAATAAAGTTTAGAACATGCCGCGGCGGCCCTCGAGCGACGCGCGAGCGCTCAAAATACCCCAACTTGCCGTGATCGCAGTTTCTCGCCGCTATTTTGGTGTTGTTTTGTTTGTGAATTCTTGCTCTTTCTTTCCCCGCCACCTGCGTCGCCGGCGGCAGCGCAGGAGAGGAGCAAGCCGCTCATGATTGGAGGGCTCGCGAGAGCTTTCAAGTTTCCCGCGGCTGAGGCGCGCAGCTGGGATTGGGCGAAGCGCGCGCTCCCCAAGGACGCGGGGGAGCCCGCGACTGCCATTGGCTGCTGCGCGCGATGACGTAGCGCTCTTGCGCATAATGCGGCCGATGCGGCCGCTCGTCTGCTGCTCATCCGTCCGGCGTCTTTGTGTTCCG